ATCGCCCTATGCCATGGCCCTAGCGTCGCCGCGCGCCTGGCAGGACGAGCCTGTTGAATGCTGTGAGCCTCCCTTCTGGACCCTCCTCCGTCATCCCGTCTATGCCTGGATCGGGATCCTCACGAACGAGGGGATGCATCAAACGGCGTCCTCCCCGCTGGCTCGCGCTGATCGACGATCCGCTGGTCATACCTCACCACCGTATCAGCGGCTCTATAATCGTCATCGCGTGTCTACTCCTACCCATGCTCGTCATGGTGCTGTCGCCGCTCTACGCACAACCGGTGTCGATAGGACCGCTCGCTGCGGGAGCCTCTGCCGATCTCGGTCCATGCCAGGCCTGCCACGCCTTCTGGAAAATCCCGTACCGCTGGCGAAGCCCGGCATCGCGCCGGCGGCCTGCTGGTGATTTACATCACCCGGACCCGTCAGGCTAGTTCGTGATCCCCGACCCTGCTTGCGGCTGCTCCGTCGCACGCCTGAATTATCGGGCGGATTCTCTGACCCTAAGTTCTTCACAACCGTGCGACTGGCCGTTGGCGTCGGCGGTCGCCTGATACCCTCCTGCTGGACTGCGTGTTGATCGTGCCCAGGTTCTCTCTTCCATCGTACCAGCATGCCCAGCTCGAGCGGGAAGCCTGAATTCGGCGAGGGATTGAGCGCGGTCACCTGGTGTCGGCTCAACAGACTGGGGCTTCGACTTCCTCATACCTCCCCGATCCTCCTGCGACGTCCCTATTCCTTCAACGACTCAAGCTCGTGACTGGGCTGGGCCGGATTCCTCCACCAGTGTTATGTCTCGATGGTGGCGAACACGAGCATGCTTCAGCTCGACGAAACGCCTGGATGACGCAACTGAAGGTCGCCTTCGTGTCATCACCCCCCCCCCCCCTCCACACGTGGCAGGCTGGTCTCGCCGGAACTCTACCGGGTTCCGTGCTTGCCACACTCCGGGCTCTTCCCCGGCCGCAACCGACATCTTCCTCAGGGATGGTCTAACGCGCCGCTGCAAGGTCATGCCCGAAGTCTCACCAACATCACCGGCCTCTCGTTTGCTCCATCGTTGCTAGCTTCCTCTTACGTCGCCTCATCCTGGGCGCGCTCGGCTACGTGGACCAGGACGGTGCGCCACACATCAACCCAATTCTACCATGGCCTAGTGCGGTGTTCGTGCAGTCCCGCCTGCCTCACCTATGGACCAAGCTCGCTGATAGGAGGCCGCTATGGACCATCTTCGCTGACCGACTTAAGCGCACCTTCTTTCGCCGTCACGCTCCGATCATCAGCCCGGAGCCCGTCGCTGCTCGCCGGCCTTGGCTGTTGCCTTCAACCCTCTCCCTCTAGACCTTGGTGATCGCCAATTCCTTACCAGCGGCCCCCGGCTCTACAGACGCTGCCGATGAAGATACTATTCGCAGTCAGAGCCTCGCGTGAACGCCGAGATCAACTCGGTCTCGTGAACCGTGCTGGTGGCGGTCGTCGCCATCGCGTTCATCGCCGCCAGCCCTCATCACACAAAGCGCGCCAGGGTCCTCCGCGCGCGCGAGGAACGGGTCGCGAATAGTGTTTTCCGCTCTCACAGGCAGCCGTCACCGCCTCCGGCCGGCGCCTCCGGGCGCGCACGTCCACGCGTGCCACGGGAGCGACCATGGGTCGCCGCACAGGGAGCCGCGGGCCCGCAGATACGCAGACTATCGTGCGAACACCACCGATCAAGACGAACTCGCTCCAGCACCCTGGGCGTGCCCCTTTCACATCCGGTCGCGGAGCTGCGCCGTAGGCCAGTGCCCAGGCGAATCGTGGGCCCAGCGCATGGCCCGTCAGCCGCCGGGAATGGCGGCTGCGAGCAGGTGTGCGAAGACATCGAACAGCCCCAGCGTGCCGAAGCGATCGCTTCCGCACTCGCGCGCCTCGAGCGTGGCCAGCGCCACGCCGATGGCCTGAGTAGTAACCTTCGCGTAGTAACGGACTCAGCCGAGAGCCTACAGCCCAATCTCGTCTCCGGGTCCTGGTGATGGCAAGGGTCCGCCCGACATGGGTCGATCCCGCAACCCTCGGCGGCGAGCTGGGGGTGGAAAGATGCGCAGTCATGGTTTGGGTTGGCGGACGAGCGGGCCTGGGTCGGCGGGGAACGCTGCCTGCTGGTCTCAAATCCGCCGCCGAATACGCTCCGCCATCGGTCGATAGCCGAAATATTCACCACGAAGCTCGTATCGACCACGCGACATCGTTCGGCGATCAGCGCGCTCGACGCCGCCATCGCCGAGCGGCGGCAATCGGTCGCCCAGGAGGAAGTTGTTCTAAATGGCTCGTGCGGCGCGATGCCGGGGTCGAGCGCAATACGTAGATAGCCGTTGCAGGCAGCACGACCTCGCCGCCGTGACCGTGTGGCAGGGCCCTGCGGAAAACCGACAGGCGTGCCCGGCGCGACCGCGACACGAGCCGAACCTTCGCGAATGTCCAACGCCTCAACCTCCGCCGCCAGCGCGTGCGAGGCCTAACGCATAGTCCCCTAGCGGGTGGAGGGTGGCCCCGCGCCCCGGTCCGAACGGACCGTCCCCAGAAATCCTCGAGGTCCACCTCCGCGCGGGAGCCGGCAGCGCGGGATAGAAGGTCCAGCACATACAGCACAACATCAAACAACCCCATTCTACCATCCATCCAACACATTCACACACACATTCAATCACACATCAACCAAAACAAAAACCAACGCAATCCCATCAATAAAACACACACCATTCAACAAAAACATCATCACCACACCACCTCTATCTCTTCGTACTCCCCTTATCTTTTTCGACTAAACTCCGCCTCGCTCGGTCCATCTGCCCGGGCATGGCGCGGCTTTTCGCTGCTATTTCTATGCCAGGGCTTTTATGTTCATCAGTCTATAGCCGGTGGCTGGGCGATGCGCGCACGCACCAGCGCCTTCGCCTCCTCGGCGAGCGACCAGAACAGCCCGCCCGCTCCGCGCCGAGCTCCCGCTCCAGAGAGTCCCGAAACTGACGCAGCCTGATGCCCGCTGCCGAGCTGCCCGCCGTTGCGGCCGGAGGCGCCGTTGCCGATGCGCCGCGCCTCCAGCAGAGGTGTGAAGCCGCGTTCGGCGAGATGGAGCGCGCAGGAGAGCCCCGTGTAGCCGCCGCCGATGACGCAGACATCCGCGCGCTTATCGCCGTCGAGCGCGGCCAGGCCGGGTTCGTCCGCGCGCTCGCCTCGTACCAGGTGGGCGCCGCGCCGTCGTGCTGCGCGTAGCGGCCGGCTCGGCTCATCAGACGGCGAGGAGGAGGAACTTGCGCTCCCAGGAGCTCACGACGCGCAGATAGGCGTCGTACTCGGCCTGCACCACCTCGGTGAAGCCCTGACGAAGCGCTCGCCGAACATGGCGCGGGCTTCGTCCGAGGATCTCGAACTGCTCGAGCGCGGTCCTGAGGTCGAGCGGCAGTGTCTCGAAGGCGCCGGTCTCTTCGCCTTCGACCGGGGGCGAGGGCTCCAGCGCCTCGGTCATGCCGAGATAGCCGGCAGCGAGCGTGGCGGCGATGGTGAGGTAGGGGTTCGTGTCGGAGCCCGGCAGGCGGTTCTCGACCCGGCGGTTCCGGGGCGGCGCGTCCCGGCACACGCAGGCCCGCGATGCGGTTGTCGTAACCCCAGCCGACGTTGAACGGCTTGCTCGCGCCGAAGCGAAGCCTGCGGAACGAGTTGACGTTGGGTGCCATGAGCGGCGTGAAGGCCGGCAGAAAGCGCTGCAGGCCGCCGAGGTAGTGGCGGAACGCCGCCGACTCGGCCCCGTCTTCGTCGGAAAAGAGCGGCCGACGCTCCGCGCCCTCGTAGACCGACTGGTGCACGTGCATGGCGCTGCCCGGCTCGCCCTGCATCGGCTTCGCCATGAAGGTGGCGTAGAAGCCGTGGCGCAGGGCGGTCTGGCGCACCGTGCGCTTGAAGACAAACACCTGGTCGGCGAGACGGAGCGCCTCGCCGTGGCGGAAGTTGATCTCCACCTGCCCGGCCCCGCTCTCGTGGTTGAGCGTATCGATATCGAGCTCCTGGGCCTCGCAATAGTCGTAGAGGTCCTCGAAGAAGGGGTCGAACTCGTTGACCGCGTCGATGCCGAACTCCTGGCGCCCGCCTCGCGCCGGCCGGAGGCGCCGATGGGCGGCTTGAGCGGCTGGTCCGGGTCGGTGTTCTTCTCGACCAGGTAGAACTCGATCTCCGGTGCGATGACCGGGTGCCAGCCGCGCTCGACGTAACGTTCCAGCAAGCGCGCGAGCACGCGGCGGGAATAGAAGGGCGAATGCCCGCCGTCCCGCAGCACGCAATCGGCGATCACCTGGGCGGTGGGCTCGTTGTACCAGGGCACGAGGGTGAGCGTCGCCGGGTCCGGCTCCAGCACGAAATCGCTGTCGCTCACGTCGATGGAGACGGCGCCCGGCGGCGGGAAGTCGCCGGTGAGCGTATGGACCAGGACGTTCTTCGGCAGGCGGTGTTGGCCGCCGGCGAGGCCCTCGATGAACTTGTCGGTGGGCAGAATCTTGCCGCGGTCGGCACGCGCGGCAAGAGGTCGGGCACCATGCACTCGACCTCGACGATGTTCCAGCTCTAACATGAGACCAGGCCTCGATGGCCCGGTGGCCGTCGTCCTCATGCTGCCCTCTCGCACCGTCAGAGTGGTGTTGGCCTGCGGCAGCCCAGTTCCAGCACTCTAGCGCCGCCGCGCGCGCCGAAGAGCATCGTGACGTTGATGCTAAGCGGTTCTGTCGTAGCAGGAGGCGGAAACAGTCGAGGATCGGCGGTTGCGGGAAGAGAGTCGGAATCGAAGATCACCACCCTCGGTTCCGCCGATAGGGCACCCGTCACCGCCTCGCCGCCGGCCGTACTTCTCGAGAAAGCGCGCCATGCGGGCGCTGTCGGCATTGTAGCTGCGACAGGCCCAGTCCGACGGCGCCGGCATGCCAGAATGTGGACGACCAGGCCGCCGCGTCGGATCGCGGTCGCTCGTCGGGGTCACCCCGAATGTGACACGTCTGACCGCGGCGAAGTCGGCATGGGTGGCGATCCCCTGCAGCCTGGAATCGTACTTGTAGGCCCAGAGCTGCTCCAGACCGATGGGAACGGAAGATGCCGGGCAGGCAGTCGCGCAGCATCGTCGCGCGAACTCTGCAGCGCGAGTGACCTGGCGAGGCGAGAAGCCGTCCACCAGATAGCGCCGAGTAAGCCCGCGCTTCACTGATACCCTAGACCGTGGCATCGAATGGCAGAAGCAGCGCACAGCGCTCCAGCGCGTCCTCGCTCAGGAGAAGTCGCTTCGACGACCGCCAACAGGTGGGCGCGCGCTCTCGCAGCAGGTCTCGCTCGATGGCGCCAGGACGATCGAGCACTGATTGACGGCGCCGCGCCAGCATGCCGGGGACTCACGGGGAGAGAGGAGCGCGGCGATTGCGATTGTAGGCCGGCGCGATGCGCCGCCACTCGCGGGATAACGAGGGACGATCGGCGCACCAATCCGGCGGCGCCTCGCAGGAAGCGCAAACGCGAGCACCTGCTCGCAGCGACCGCGGCGATTATCCTGCGAAGCGCGTCGAAGGCGGCACTTCGCTTTGGCAGAGCCGGACGGACAAATACTGCTCGGTCATCGTGCTGGAGCTTGAAGGGCCGCGACCGTGACATCGCGACGCCTACTCACCCCACCGCCGGCGCTGCGATCACAGAGCGGCGGGCGCCAAGCGAGGCGGCGCGCGTGGCGCAGCACGTCCGTCGCAAGCGCGGCCAGCAGAGCAGGCAAGTGCGCGCCGTCGTCACGTGGTCAGCAAGCAAGCACACCCGGCCCACGTGGATCATGCCGGATGGACGATTGGCGAGAAGGTAGGCGATTTCCTCTCAACGGCGTCAGCGAAGCGCCGCGTCTCGACGCTTTACGAGACCAGCACGCGATAGCTCTGCGCGCCGGCGCTGAGGAGCGTCATTGCGAGATATGGCATTCGTAGCCGCGTCGCATGCGCGGAGGTCCAGCGCAATCGACGCCCGGCGATAGGCGTGCCTCCGCCTCGTCCAGGCGGTGATAGGCTCACTGGAGCACACGTTGCCAAAAGAGATTGGCGTGCGCGCCGCATGCGCGGGCGCCGTCGAGCACGAGGCCCCGCCGCAGGAGGCTCAGCGCACCAGCCTCCTCCAGGCGCGCCGATCTCAGCAGCAGCAGCTTGCCGAGGTCGGGTTGATTGAATGGGCGCCCGCGCGCGTCCGCGATCGCGAACGCACCGGCCTGGCGCAGCGGCCGCCACGCTCTAAAACGCCTCGTCGGCCGGCTCCAGGTCCAGCAGCACGCGAGGCCAGAGACTGCGACGCGCGGCCCGTGATCGAGCATGACTACGCGAGCCTGCCATCACGCGAACCACGGCCTACATTCCGCCCCGCCTCCGCGGCCGGCCCGAAACACTTGACGCGCAGCGCAGCGTGGGCCCGAGAGTTGTTAGCAGAGAGTGGCGGCATTGACGCGTCGAGAAAGCGCGTGCGCGCTAACGCGCGGATAGCGCGCGAGCGCCTCGTCGAAACAGGCGGCGCCCCGCGCCCTCGAGCGCGTTGGCGAGCAATCGCTCAGGAAGCCGGCGTTGCGTACCGGCGCCACGGCGCGCGACTTGGTGTGAGCAGCGGCAGCGCAGCGGTCTCCAGCGCGCCGGCCTGGGTGAGCACGCCGAAAGCAGGTGGCAGCGCGTCGCATGGCGCGTTGGCGCAGGGCACCCGACTCGGTAGAGTCAGCGCCGCCGCGGCGCACGCTGCGCGCCCTGCCGTGATGGGCGAGCGCGGCCCGAGCATTTCCTCCAAAGGTTCCGGCCCACCACCCACCCCCCACCCACCAACCCCCCCACCCAACACCCCCCCCCGCCGCGGCGGCAAGCTCCAAAAATCACACCCCGGCAAAAGTAGAGAGCGAACCCGACAATCGGCGTCGAAGAGGAGTAGGAATTGCGGTCGCGCGGAAGCAGAGCCGACCGGGCGCCGACGGGGACCCCTCGTGCAGTCGATGCTCGCCGCCACGTATTCGCGGTTGACCATCGGCAGATCGCGCGCGCGTACGAGCGCGACATGAAGGCGATGATGACGCCACCGTAGGATTCGGTGGAAACTCGACGCGCCCGTCGATCCGATTTTCTCTGTCGATGACCCATCTTACACCGGCGCTGCAGGCAGAAACACGTCCTCGGCACGGATGCCGAGGAGGCATGACCGCGACCGCCGCCCTCGGCGCCCGGCGCCGCGCCCTCCAGCGCGCGGCACTGGCGAACGGTGACGGTGCCCGACCCGCTGCAGATCGCGCTTTCGCGAGGAAGTTGATGCCGGGGACAACTAGCCGATGAAGTCGCGACGACATGTTCGACAGGGAGACGCTCGTAGACTACGCGACCGGATCGGGCCACACTGACTGGATCTCGCCCTTGCTCGAGCCGGCACAGCACGTCGGAGAGGATCAGCGCCTCGGCCTGGTCGTGGGTCACGTAGATGGTCGTGACCTTGTACGCCTGATGCAGGCGCTTGAGCTCGGTCCGCATGTGCTCGCGCAGCTTGAGGTCGAGGTTGGAGAGCGGCTCGTCCATCAGGTAGCAGGCGGGGCTGCGCACCATGGCGCGGCCGAGGGCGACGCGCTGGCGCTCGCCGCCCGAGAGCTTCGCCGGCTTGCGCTCGAGCAGCGGCTCGATGTTGAGAAGCTTCGCCGTCTCCCGCGCCTTCTCGTTGCTCGGCTTTGGACATGCCCGCGACCGTGAGGCCGAGCGTCATGTTCTGCAGCGCGGTCATGTGGGGGTAGAGCGCGTAAGTCTGAAAGACCATCGCCACGTCCCTATCGCCGGGATCGACGTGGGTGACGTCGCGCTCGCCGATGGCAATGGAGCCCTCGGTCGGCTCCTCCAGCCCGGCGATCAGGCGGAGCGTCGTGGTCTTGCCGCATCCAGACGGCCCGAGCAGGGTCAGGAACTCGCCCTTGGCGATGTCGAGGTCGATCCCCCTGACGGCCTCGGTGCCGTCGCGAAAGCGCTTAACCAGTCCCCGGAGCGTGACGTTCATGGCGGCCCTATTTCACCGCGCCGAGCGCGAGGCCGCGCGCGATGTGTCGCTGGAGCAGGAACACGACGGCGATCATCGGCAATAGCTGTATCACCGCGCCGGCGCTGAGCGAACCCCACAGCACGTTGTAGAGGTCGATGGTCTTTTGCAGCGCGACCGGCATCGTCGTCGCCTTGTCGTAGGTGAGGAAGAGCGCATAGAGATACTCGTTCCAGCTGAAGACGAAGGTGAAGATGGCCGTCACCGCGATGCCGGGTGCCGCCATCGGCAAGGATGAGCGGAAGATGATCTGCAGCCAGCTCAGCCCGTCGAGCCGGGCTGCCTCCTCCACCTCCTTCGGCAAATCGAGCAGGAATCCGCGCAGAATCCAGACCGCGAACGGCAGACCGAAGGCGACATAGACGACGATCAGCACGATCTGCGTGTCGATCAGGGTGAACCAATTGGCCATCTTGAAATAGGGCAGCACGACGACCACGCCCGGCATGAATCGCAATGAGAGGATGACAAGGGCCCAGGTATCGCCCCCCATGAGCCCCATGCTCGGCGACGGCGTAGGCCGCAGGCAGCGCGAGAATCATCACGATCAACGTCGAGACACCCACCGTGATCAGGCTGTTCACGATCGCGCGGTCGAAGCGGAAGCGGTCGAAGATCTCGACATAGTGCTCGCCGGTCGGCTCGAACGAATAGAACGTGGGCGTCTCGGCATTGATGACTTTGGTGGGCTTGACCGAGGTGAGCGCCACCCACGCCACCGGGATAAGCCACACGATGACGACGATCACCGCGAGCGCATTGATGGCCCGCATGTAGACGGACGACATCATGGCTGGTCGGCGGCGCGCGCCGCCTTCTCCGTTCGGTAGAGCGTATTGAGGAACAAGACGACGACTAGGTTGATCAGAATCAGGATGAGGAACCCGTAGGCCGCCATCAGGCCGAGATGGCCCTGCTCGAAGATGGTGTAGTCATAGACGCTGGCGAGCAGCGTCGACGATCCCGGCCCACCCCCTTGTCATGATGAAGTTGAGATCGAAGATACGGATCGCATCCACCAGCCGGATCAGGATCACCACCATGATGACCGGGCGGATCAGCGGGATCACGATGCGCGTGTAGAAGGTGACGCCGCGCACCCGGTCGAGCCGCGCCGCCTCGGTGATCTCCGGCGAGATGCTCTGCATCCCTGCGAGCAGGATCAGAGCGATGAAGGGCGTCCACTGCCAGCAGTCGACGAGCATCAGCGTGGCGAGCGCGGTGTCCTTGTGCGAGATCCAGGTCCATTTCTCGAGGCCGAAGCCGGTGTTGAGGATCCAATTGGCGAGGCCCGAGACCGGCTCGAAGATGAAGCGCCAGGTGAGTCCCATGGCGATCGGCGAGATGAACACCGGAATGATGATGAGCGTGCGCAGCAGACCGGCGCCCTGCATCTTGCGATCGAGCAGCACGGCGAGGAAGAAGCCGAGCACCATCTGGATGGAGACGACGATAACGGCCCACATCACGGTGAGCCGGATGCTGTTCCAGAAGCGTTGGTCCTCGAACAGGTCGTTGTAGTTGCGCCAGCCGACGAAGCGCGCCACGTCCGGGTTGTAGAGCGGGTCGACCTTGAACGAGAGAGTTCCCGAGAAGGCCAGCGGGAAGATTGCGAGCGCCAGCAGGACCAGCACGCAGGGCGCGAGCAACATGTAAGCGGTGCGCCGCTGCTGGCGCGCCACCGCACCCGGCCGCAGCGGCCGGGACGGCCCGGCCGCACGCGGCGGCCGGGCCTCAAGGCTGGCTACAGTCACGCCCGAGGTTCCGGGAAGACCCCGGCCTCACTCACTCAGGCGTAGTAGCCGCTGTCCTCCATGATGCGATGGACCCGCTTGCTATTGGCCTTCATCGCATCCTCGATGCTTTGCTCCTCGTTGACCGCGTCGGCCACCTCCTCGCCCATGGCACCCATGATGGCGTAGGCCTCCGGCACCGTCGGTGTGTTGCCACCGAAACCGGATAGGCCTTCATCAGGCCGACGAAGAAGGGCTTGCGGTCCGACCAGCGCTTGAGCGTCGAGACCCGCGAGAGCTGGCCGCCGGCACCCACGATCGCATCCGCGATGAGGGGGCTGCCGTCCAGATCCTCCCGATCGCCTGAGTTGAGGAACTTGATCCAGGCGAAGGCGGTCTCCCGATTGCCGCCGAAGGTCGGCATGAACTGGCCGAAGCCGCCGGCGAGCGCGCGGTGAGCGCCGTTGGGTCCGGTGCCTCGCGGCGAGAGATCCATGTGCCAATGCTCGTGCAGGTCGGTGTAAGACGCGTCGTTGAGCACCGCCGTGCCCCAGGTGAGCGGGCTGTAGAGCGCAGTGCCGGCGGCGAACACCCGGTTGACCTCGTCCTCGCCGGCGTTGGCGGCGACCGGGTGCGCGTATTTCTGGAGCTCGACCAGCACCTTCAGGGCCTGATAGGCCTCCTCGCTCTCCAGCGTCACCGTATAGTCCTTGTTCTCCTCGTCGGCGAAGACGGCACCGCCCATGCCGCGCAGTGCGCCAAAGTACTGGTAGCCGGCCCAGAAGCTGCGCTGCATCGCCGCGCAATAGGCGTAGCGCTCGTTGTCCGGGTCGTGGATCTCCTTGCAGGCGTCGATCACCTGGTCCCAGGTCTCGGGCACAGGCACGCCGTACTTCTCGAAGACGTCCTTGCGGTAGAAGGTCATCATCGCGTTGCCGTCGGGCGCGAGGGCCGCGACGTAGCCTGGCGGGGCCGGCCCCTTGGGCAGGTTCCACATGTGCGGTAGTTCTCCGGCACATCCTGCTCATAGTCCGCGTACCAGTCCGGGAAGGGCTCGATATAGGGCCCGAGGTCGGTGAGCGCGCCCATCGCGTCCAGCGCCGCAAACTGGGCGTGGTCCTGGGTGATGATGTCGAAGGCGTCGCTCTTGGACCGCATGTAGGTGTTGATCTGGGTCAGCGCCTCGCTCATCGGCTTCGAGACGACCTCAAGCGTCACGTTCGGAAACACCTTGTCGAAGAGCGGCTTGACCGCCCGCAAGGAATTAGCGAGCCGTTTGCCGGACGAGGCGAAGTGGACGATGGTCCCGCCCACGTCGGCATGCACCTCGCGCGGCACGAACTGCGACGCAAGTGTCGCGCCGAGCGCCGTCGCGGCCGAGGCCTTCAGCACCTGACGGCGGGTGAGCTCCCGCCCGCGGAAGTGCTTGATGCGCTTCAGCGCATTGTCGTAGGCCCGGATGTCATTGTCGGATGTCGGCATATGCTCCTCCCTGAAGCAGGACTGTTTCGGGCACTTATGAATCTTTTCGCCCGCACAAAACGCTAAGGTTGCCGCCACGGCCTGTCAAGAAAGCGGCCCGGCGGCCGATGGCGTCTGACGTCAGGAGGGCTGAGCCGCTGCACCGGAGGCGCGCCTGTCCTTTCATCGCGCGGTCGTGTAGACTGCGCGGCGGCACGCACCTTCACGATTCGGGAGCAGAGCCTTGTTCAAAATCAAATTGCGGCGGCTGTCCGTCATTCTCGCGCTTGTCGTCGCGGCGGGGACCATGATGAGTGACCAGACCGAGACACAGGCCGACGAGGGCGGAAGCCCGCTCGTCACGTTCGAGACCACGCACGGCTCGTTCGCAGTCGCGCTCGAGCCCGAGGCCGCGCCCGAGACTGTTGCGAACTTCGTCCAGTATGTCCGGGATGGCTATTACGACGGACCGTCTTCCACCGCGTGATCGCGGGCTTCATGGTCCAGGGCGGCGGCTACACGCAGCGCTACGAGCAGATGCCGACGCGCGCGCCGATCCAGAACGAGGCTCCGGATGCCCCCGGCAACGATCGGGGGACAATCGCCATGGCGCGCACGGCCGATCCCCACTCCGCCACCGCGCAGTTCTTCGTCAACGTCGTGGACAACGACTTCCTCAACCATCGCGGCAAGAACCCGCAAGGGTGGGGCTATGCCGCGTTCGGCCGGGTGGTCGACGGCATGGAGACGGTGGACCGCATCGCCGCGCTGCAGACCGGCTCCCGGCGGCCCCTTCCGAGCGACGTGCCGCAAGAGGCCGTGGTCATCGAAAAGGCGACGGTCAGCGGCGGGTCCTAGCCCACAGGCGCTGACTATTCGCTAACGGTCCGGGCGATGCGGTCGGACCATCAGGCGGACTATATCGTCGTCGGCGCGGGCTCCAGCGGCAGCGTGGTCGCCGCACGGCTCTCGGAGAACGGGCGCGACCGGGTGCTGCTGCTGGAGGCCGGCGGCTCGGACCGCCGCATGGTCATCCTGATGCCGGCGGGCACCATGCTCTACGGCATCACCAACCCGCGCTACGACTGGCGCTTCATGGCCCAGCCGGATCGACCCGCGGCGGGCGCGAGGATTACATGCCGCGCGGCAAGGTGCTGGGCGGCACCAGCTCGATCAACGCCACCTCCTACGTGCGGGGTGCGCCCGAGGACTACTAACGGCTGGGCGGCGCTCGGCTGCCGCGGCTGGGACTTCGAGCACGTGCTCCCCTATTTCCGCCGCTTGGAAGACTTCGAGGGCGGCGCCGACCAGTACCGGGCGCGGGCGGGCCGCTCTCCGTCTCCCACATCCGCTCGCTGCATCCGCTCTTCCCGCGTCCTGGTCGAGACCTGCGTCAAGGCGGGCATGACCGTTCCGCGAGGACATCAACGCACCGCCGCAGATGGGCGTGGGCTACGTCCAGGCCACCCAGCGCCGGGGCTGGAGGCACAGCGCGTCGCGCGCTTACCTCTGGCCGGCCAAGCGCCGCGACAACCTCCGCATCGTGACCCACGCGCAGGCGCTGGGACTCCGGTTCGAGGGCACGCGCGTCGTCGGCGTGGACTACCTCCGGCGCGGCAAGCGCAGGCAGGCAACCGCCGCCAAGGCCGTCGTCCTCTGCGCCGGGACCTTCGGCTCGCCGCAGCTCCTGATGCTGTCTGGCGTCGGCCCCGCAGCCCACCTCCGCGAGCACGGCATCGAGGTCCGCCATGACCTCCCCGGCGTGGGCGAGAACATGCAGGATCATGCCGGGATCAGCCAGACCATGTGGGTCAACCGCAAGACCTACAATGTGCAGACCGGGCTACTGAGCGCGCTCTTCTACGGTGCTCAGTGGCTGCTGGCCGGCACCGGCCCGGCCTCCACGCCGATCGCCCAGGTCTGCGGCTTCCGGCGCTGCGACCCGAGCAAGTCTCGCTCCCACGTGCAGTACCTGTTCTCGCCGGCGGGCTACGACCTCACCGCAGATGGGCCCGAGGTCTTCGACAGGCCTGCGATCACCGGGATCACCAACCTGCACCGGCCCTACTCGGCCGGCACGGTGCGCCTTGCCTCGGCCGACCCCCGCCCAGCCCGCGATCCAGCCGAACCTGTTTGCCGATGAGCGCGATATCGAGACCCTGGTGCTCGGCGCACGCTTCTTCCGCACCGTCCTGGCCAGCGAGCCCATCTCGCGCTACATCGTCGGCGAGTACCTGCCCGGCGCGGGCGTGCAGAGCGACGACGACTGGCGCGCCTACATCCGCGCCAACGCCATCGGCGTCTATCACCCGGCCGGCACCTGCAAGATGGGCAACGACCCCATGGCGGTGGTCGACGACGGCCTCAAGGTGCACGGGCTTGACGGCCTCTATGTGGCCGACGCCTCGATCATGCCGACCGTCGTCAGCGCCAACCTCAACGCCACCTGCATCATGATCGGCGAGCGCGCAGCGGAGATGATCCGCCCGCCGCCTGAACGGTGTCAGAGCGTTTCCGTTTGACACAGAAACGCTCTAGCATTTTGTCGCTCACGGCGGCCGGCCGGCGGCCGGCGCCTCCGCGAGGGCGCCGCGGGAGCGGCGGGCCGCAGTCGCGGCCTGTCGCGAGTCCGTCGAAGACGGACTCGCTCTAGAGTTCAGCGAGGGAGGACCCCATGCCTTACACCGTCGCCGCAGCCCTCAGGATCAAGAAGAAGCACGTCGCCGAGTTCACCCGGCTGGTGAAACGCCACGCCGCCAACTCGATCACGAAGGAACCGGGCTGCATCGCCTTCGAGGTGAGCGTCGACCGCGACGATCCGCAGCGCTTCATCTTCTACGAGATCTATCTCACCGAGGCCGACTTCGACGCCCACACCCAGACCCCCTGGTTCAAGCGCCAGATGGAGCGGACGGCCCACATGGTCGACGGCGAGTTCGAGATGTTCGCCCTCGGCCACCGCATCGCCGCGCCCAACAAGTAGCGTTGCCGCACGGGGGAGGAGAACCTGATGTTCGCCCCAGCCGGCAAGGCGGCCGCGGCAACTGCAACCGCTGTCCTATTGGGAGCCGTTCTCTCGGCCTGCAGCGACGATCCTTCGATCATGGACGACGATTCCATCGTCGTCGGCGGATTCGTCGCGAGTCCGTTAGGCTCCTGGTACGCGGATAGCGATGAGGACACGCTGGAGAGCATGGATGGCTGGCGTTTCCGCCTCTCTCCGTCCACGTCAGAAGGAATTTTGCGGAAGACGAGAGAGGCGTGACGTCGCCCGAGGACGACAGCGCCTATATCGAGTCCGTCTTGAGGACGAGTCACGGGAAAGATCGTCGTCAACTATGTCCTGGAGGTGATCGAACGAGCGTCGACTTCGAACAAGCGATATCGCCTCATACGACAGCATTTTCGGCCAGACGACCCATGACGGACACGTGTACGGCGTGCAGATCTACACCGATCTGGGTACCGACGACGACCCTGCCCAGCGGGATTACGTGGCCACCGCCCGATGGTTCACCTATGAACGCCGGCCGGGTGCGAGTCCTACGACGGCACGGTCTTCGAATTCTTCGGCGCCTACGGTGCGAGAACCCGGACCGAGCCCCTGTCGGCCCTCGGCAGCGCCAGCTACGAGGGCAACATCCTGGGCAACATTTGGGATACCGGCGACCCCAACCGCACCACCGGCAAGGATCTCATCAGGGGAACGCTCTCTCTCGACGCGAATCTGGATGACGGCGCGATCAGCGGACAGGTCGGGGACTTTCGGAGGTTCGACCCTGGAGCCGACAGTCCCGCCTGGGAGGCGCTCGCGGACACGAACGCGTTCGAAATCGGCGGCAGCATCTCTGAAGGGCGCTTTACTGCCGATTGGGAAGGCCGGGATAGCGGCGAGACGCCTGTCGAAGACAGTGTCCGGGGGTTCACGGGAACCATGCTCGGCGAGTTCTATGGACCCGCCGGAGAGGAGGTGGGAGGCGCGCTGAGGGGGCATCGGGACGCGACCGCCAGCACGCCCGAGCAGATTCTCAACGGATTCTTTCAGCGCGGGTCGGTAACCGAAGGCCGGGCGCGAGCTAACGCGCGTAGCGGGCCCAGAGCACCGCCGGGTCGGGGCGCTTCTCGTGCTTGGTCGCGGCCTCGGCGATCTCCGCCTCGCTCGGGCCGCCCTGCTCCAGGGCCTGGAAGGCGCGGACCACGGGGCCTGCACGGTTCGCGTGGCGCTTGGCGGCCAGGCTGATGGGCTCGTGCAGCGCGCCCGAGCAGTGGGCGCAGGGCCACGGCGAGGCGCGCCATCAGCTGAGCCGCCTCGCCGCCGGGATAGCGCTCCAGCAGCTGCACGATGGTGGTCGAGCCGGTGATCGGCTGAGCCGCGTCAGCCGCGCCGGAGGGAGACACGGCGCCGCCTTACTCCGCCGCTTGGCTCAGCGGCTCGGCCTCCATCGGCATGCGGATCGCATCGCGCGGGAGCTGGTAGCGCGCGAAGGGCAGCACCGCGACCCTGGCGTCCGGCCCGTGCCGGGTCATCGCCGCGGCGAAGGCATCCTCCAGCGAGGTGCCCGCCTCGATCCCGATATCGGCGGCCATGTCGAGGTTCTCCTCCAGCGTCACCACGTGGAGGTGCTTGCGCACCATGACCTCGTAGATCGGCACCCAGATGCAGCCCGCCCACATCTCGATCGTGCGGCTGTGGATGTCGCGGTAGACGCGCTCCATATTGGCCGCAGACGGCGGCATGTAGGGCTTCATCAAGTCCATGAGCGCGAGGCCCGGGAAGTCGCCGAGATGCGTCTTCACGCCGGGCGACGGGCTGCAATAGATCAGCGTGCCGCCATCCCGCACCAGCAGGTCGGACGACATGCAGCCCCAGCCGGTGTGGAAGAAGAGGTGATCGGTGGGCGCGAACACGCCGCAGATACCGATATCCGCCGGGCCGCCGGCGGGGCGGTCGTAGGCATAGATAGCCGTTGAAGTAGCGATTGCCTCGAGATGCGCGTCCGGATGAGCGCCGAAGTTGATGAAACAGAGGCTGCCTTTCGTATCCAGCACGCTGTTGAGCGTCGCCGTGAGCCCGCACATGGTCGCGGCCTCGTCGATGTCGGTCCGCATGGGGCCGGCCATGGCGCCGTAATGGGTCTTAGGCGACATGACGAAGGCGCAGTGGTTCGATTCGATGGTCTCGTCAGAGACCACGCCGGGCAGGATCAGCTTGCCGCCCCCGCCGGCGCCCCAGTGGTTGGACTGCGCCTGGCCCATGGAGAGCGTGACGTCGGACTTCGCGACCTCCTTGTGTAGCCAGACCGGCGTGCCGCCCGTGGTCATGCCGATGAAGACGTATTGATCGGGGTCGCGCGGCTCGTTCTGGAAGAAGGGGATCCCGAGCCGCTCCATGCGCGCCAGGTTCTCCCGCCCCAGCTTGAGCTCGGTGTCGCGCTCCGACATGGGGAAGATCTTGCCGTTGGCACAGACGACGCGCGCCTCCTTGATGCCGTGCGCCTCGATGGCGTCCAGCACCGCCGGCAGCAGCTTCGAGGTTGGCGTCGGGCGGAACTGGTTGTCGATTATGATGGCGAGGCTCTTGTCCGGCCCGATCATCTCGGAGAACGCGGGCCCCGAATGCGGTGCCTCCAGCGCGGCCGCGCAGGCCTCGGTGGGGTTCGCGATGGGCGCGGGCTCGTCCGGGAAGAGCGCCGCCAGCAGGTTGGCCTCGGGGATGTCGAGGGTCAGCGTCTCCCGATAGACCATGGACGGATCGTCGGCCGAGCCGATGGTCAGCGGATCGAGGGATTCGTAGGGGATCACCGCGCGATAGGTGTCGGACATCGCCGCCCTCCTGCATGTGAACCGGCCAGAGGCCGCGAAACTGGCGTTCCGCGCCAAGCCGAGTGTAATGGAGCGAGCCGATTATGCACAGGGCGCCCTGGCCTCAGGCGCGCCCGCGAGAGGGGGAGCGCACCATGGCGGCCTATCCACGGCTTTTCTCAGAATGGAAGATTCGCAACACCACGATCAAGAACCGGGTGGTGTTCCCGCCGACCTGCCCGAGCTGGGTCTCCGACCCGTGGAACGGGCTCTTCATCGACATGGCCACCCACTACTACCGGGAGCGCGCCGAGGGCGGAGTCGGCCTCATCATCATCGGAGGGACCCATGTCCACCCGAGCTCGATCATGGCGCCGCTGCTCATGCCGCAGCTCTTCGACGACCGGCAGATCGAGCCACTGTCCCGCATCGCAGAGGCGGTCCACGCCGAGGGCTGCAAGCTCGCGATCCAGCTCTGGCATTCGGGCGTGCGGGGCTTCCCCACCCTCAAGCAGGAGGCCACTTACGACCCCGATGCGACCTGGTACTCTGTCTCGCCGAGCCAGGTGCCCTTGGGCGAGTTCCCCGGCGCATCCACGCCCAAGGAGCTGGACGAGGACGAGATCGAGGAACTGCTGGAGGCCTTCGGCAGCGCCGCGGTCCGCGCGTTCGCGGCGGGGCTCGACGGGGTCGAGCTTCATCTGAGCCACGGCTACCTGCCCTGGCAGTTCATCTCGCCGCTTTACAACAAGCGCACCGACCGCTGGGGCGGCTCCCAGGAGAACCGCCTGCGCTTCCCCCTCGAGGCATTGAAGCGGATGCGCGCCGCCGCCGGCGACGACAAGTTCGTCGGCTACCGCATCAACTCGACCTCGTTCTGGCCGGGCGATCTCGAAATCGACGACGTGCGCAGCATTGTCGCCGACATCGAGAAGCGGGCCGACATCGACTACGTCAACGTCTCGGCCGGCGTGCATCACGCCTTCATCCACACGCCGATGGAGTTCGAGGCGGGGTGGGAGCGGGGCTACGCCCGCAAGATTCGCGAGGTCTCGTCCAAGCCGGTGCTGCTCGTTGGCCGCATCACCACGCCGGACGTGGCCGAGCGGCTGCTGGAAGCAGGCGACGGCGACGCGATCTGCCTCGCGCGCCAGCTCTTCACCGACCCCCACTGGGCCAAGAAGGCCGCAGAGGGCCACGCCGACGATATCCGCTCATGCGTTGCCGCCAACTTCTGCTGGAAGAGCGTGAGCCGGGGCGGGCGGGTGCAGTGCATCTATAACCCTGCGGTGGGCCGCGAGAAGGCCTGGGGCGAGGGCACGCTCGACCGCGTGGCGGAGCCCAAGTCGGTGCTGATCATCGGCGGCGGCCCGGCCGGGCTGGAATACGCGCGCATCGCCTCGGCCCGCGGCCACAACGTGACGATCTACGAGGCCGAGGGAGAGACCGGCGGCCATGTGCGCGTGCAGTCCCTCCTGCCGAGCCGGGCCGAGTACGGCGAGATCGGCCGCTGGCTCACGGCGCAGGCCGAGAAGAACGGCACCCGCATCGTCACCGGCGCGCCGGTCACGGAAGAGGATATCGACCAGGCGCTTGCGGAGGTGAAGCCCGACCACGTGGTGGTGGCCACAGGATCGGCCGTCGCCGTCGACGGCTTCCAGGGCTGGACCGGCGAGGCGTTGCCCGGCTGGGAGAGCGGCAATTGCGTCGGCTGGGACGCTGTGAGCGCAGGGACACGCCAAGCCGCGCGGCAAGGTGATGGTGCTTGACGACCTCTGCGACGTGATGGCGCCGCTCACCGCCGTCGCCTGCAAGGATGGCGGCGCAGACGAGGTGACGCTGGTCACCCGCTGGCCGATGGTCGGCATGGAGACCATCCTCGACGTCTATCTCGACTGGATCCTGCCGAAGCTTTACCGCAGCCAGGTGGCGGTCTGCGTCGATCACTTCGTCCGCCGCATCGAAGGCAACCAGGTCACGCTCTACAACGTCCATCACGACGAAGCCGAGCGGGTTATCGAGGCGGACTGGATCGTCATGGCGACAGGCCGGCGTTCCGTGAATTCGCTGCACGCGGCGGTTGCGGCCCGCGCCATCTCGGTCGAGACCATCGGCGACGCCACCGCGCCCCGCAGCGCCTACGAGGCGGTCTACGAAGGCCACCGCCAAGCCCGCAAGCTATAACCCGTCGCGTACCTGGCACACCCCATTCCAACCAAGGAGAACTGCCATGCCCGCTGCCTATCTCGTCTCCACCTCGGAGGTGACCGATCCGGAACTGATGCAGGAGTATGTCGAGAAGGCAGGCCCGACAGGCGGCCCCTACGGCGCCGAGCTGCTCGCCGCCACCACGGAAGTCGCGCATATGGACGGCACCTGGAAGCCGTCCCGCGTGGTGATCTTCCGCTTCCCGAGCATGGAAAGGGCCAAGGCCTGGTACAACTCGCCCGAGTATCAGGCGATTGTGGACATGCGTTTGCGAGCTGCCGAGAGCAGCCTCATCTTCGTGGAAGGCATGGAGTAATCCCCGCGCGCCGGTTCACGCGGCGGGCGGATCGGCCAAGAAGTGCTCGATGGCGTTGGCGTAGTAACGCAGCATGTCGCGCTCGGCCTCGTTCGCACGAAAGAGCCCCTCCGCTTCGGTCACGAAGTGGCGTAGCGTCAACATGCGCAGGCCCACTGTGACGGCATAGTCGCGGTCGGCCCGCGGGATGTGGACGTAGGCGCCCTCGCGCTCCAGCCTGTCGATCAGCGCCTGGGTGCGCCCCTTGATCTCCAGCAGGTCGAGCGCATCGCTTTCTGACTCGACGAAGACCGTCGCGACCAGGGAGACCGGCAAGACGGGGATCGCCGCGGCGATGGCCTGCAACAGCTCGCCGCCGAGTTTCTCCACGGCCTCGTGGCGAGCGTCGGGCTCGAGCGCGCGGAAATCGACCCCGCGGGCCTTCACATAGTCCCGCATGGAGATCGGCGCGGAGAAGTTCACGCAGGCGTAGCCGAAGCGGTACCAGCGCCGACGGATCATGAGGCTTAGGTTGTGGGCGGCGAACCGGAACGCGGTCGCGAGCACGCGCGCCCTGCTGCGCCGGGGCTCGCCCGAGCCGGGTGCGCGCACCAGCATGCGGTCCTCAAGCACCCGGTCGTAATTGATCCCGACGGGGACGAAGACCAGATCCCGCGCCCCCTCCGGATCGAATGACGAGACCATGTAGCTGATGAGGCCGAGCTTGGGCTTGCGCAGGCGCCCGTCGCGGCTGAGGCCGCCCTCGGGATAGACCGCCTGGACCACGCCGCCGGCCGTCGCCGCCTGCACGTAGCGGGCGAGCACCTGGCGGTAAAGGCGGCTGCCCGAGCCGCGGCGCACGAAGTAGGCGCCGAGCGAGCGCACCAGCATCTTGAGCGGCCAGACCCGCGCCCATTCGCCGACGGCGTAGCTGAGCGCGGAGCGATGCGCCGCCATGTAGGCGACGATCACATAATCCATGTTGCTGCGGTGGTTCATCACGAAGACGACGCTGGCGCCGGGCTCGATGCGGGCGAGCGCCTCGTCGTCCGAATAGCCGAGCCGCACGCGATAGAGGCTCTCCACCGCCCGCCTGGCGATGTGATAGCCGATGCGGAAATAGGCGTAGGCGTTGAAGGAGGGCACGATCTCGCGGGCGTAGCGCTCCACCTGCCGGCTCAGCACCTCGCGGGGTGCCGGTGGCTTCGGACTCGGCGTCGATCGCCTTCATCACCTGGGGATCGAAGCTGAGCTGGTCGATGAGCACCCGGCGCTTGGTCTGCTGAAAGGGCGGGATCTGCAATTCCAGCCGCGTGTTGACCTCGACGATCATCCGGTTGAGGCGGCGGCGCAGGAACCACCGCACGCTCGGCATCAGGATCCGGTCGAGCGCAGCCCAGAGCGCGAGCGCGCCCACCACCGCGAGGATCCAGAGCGGCAGCGTGAGGGAATCGGTCATGCGAGAGTCTTATATCCAGCCGGGCGGATTTCGCCCGAGCCCGGCTGTTTCGCCCCGGAAGAGAGTTCCCAGCAGATGGTCGTCACCGGCATGGTGGCAGCAAGGCTCGCGGCTGTAGCGCAGATGCGCTAGTTATAGCAGCAATGGGCGGGCGCGGTGCCTGCCAGCAAGCGCACGCCGGGGCGTAGTGACGAGCCATGAAGGCGGCGAACTCCAACAGAGACCAATTCGCGATCCTGCGCCGGACCATGGTCGAGCAGGTGGCGCTCCACGCCGACCATGTGAGCGGCAAGACCGGCCGCACCGCGATCGCGAGCCCGGTCATGGAGGCGATTGAGCGGGTCCCGCGCCATGCCTTCGTGCCGGTCGAGATGACGCTCTACGCCTACCTCGATTCGCCGCTCCCCATCGGCTGCGGCAAGACCATCTCGCAGCCCTTTATCGTCGCGCTGATGACCGACCTGCTGGAACTGGGCGCGGAAGACCGGGTGCTCGAAATCGGGACGGGGCTCGGCTATCAGGCGGCGCTTCTGGCGGAGCTTGCGGCCGAGGTGTTCACCGTCGAGCTGATCGAGGAGTTAGCCCAGAGCGGGCGCCGCCGGCTCGGCGAGCAGGGCTACGGCAACGTGCAGTTCCGCGTGGGCGATGGCAGCCTCGGCTGGCCCGACCATGCGCCCTTCGACCGCATCATCGCAACCGCAGCCCCCGACCTCATCCCGCCGGCGCTCTTGCAGCAACTCAAGACCGGCGGGCGCATGGTGATCCCGGCCGGGCTCGAGGACGACCAGCGCCTGCTACTGGTTACCAAGGATGAGGGCGGGCGGTTCGAGACCGAGGAAATTCTCCCGGTGCGCTTCTCCCAGCTGATGAGCGCCGACGACGACTGAACTCCCGCCGCCGCGGCCGGCTCTCTCGATTGCTTTCTCCGAAGATTGTCCAAGCTATAGGTGCGTCGTTCAGGACAGGCAGGAACCATGGGCAAGACGATCACAGTGGATGCGTTACAGGCGAATTGTCTCCGCATTATCAATGAGATGGGCGAGAGCGGCGAGTCGATGACGATTACCAATCGCGGCCGGCCGGTTGCGGTGCTCTCGCCGGCGAAGCCTGAGCGCGCGGACCGGTCGATCATCGGCGCCATGAAGGGATCGGTCCTGGCCTATGACGACCCCTTCGGACCCGCCGCCGATCCCTCGGAGTGGAATGCAACACGGAGCGAGGGCACGTAGCGTCATGAACGATCTGACGCTGGTGATCGGCAACAAGAACTACTCGTCCTGGTCGCTTCGGCCCTGGCTCGCCCTTCGGAACGCGGGAATCCCGTTCACCGAACGGCTGCTCCTGCTGTTCGACGAGAACTGGAAGGAGGCCATCGCCGCCGTCTCCCCGTCGGGGCGCGTCCCCGTCCTGCTGCACGGCAAGCGCACTATCTGGGAGACCCTCGCGGTCCTGGAATACGCCCACGAGCTGTTCCCGAAGGCCGGCCTCTGGCCCGAGGACCGCGGCGCACGCGCCGTGGCCCGCGCGGTCGCCAGCGAGATGCACGCGGGCTTCGCCGCCCTTCGCACGCACATGCCCATGAACCTGCGCCACCTCGACCTCAAGGGGAAGGGCCGTGGGCCGGGCGTCGCAGACGACATCGCCCGAATCTGCGAGATCTGGCGCGACTGCCGGGGCCGCTACGGCGCAGGCGGCGATTTCCTGTTCGGCGCCTTCGGTGCGGCCGACGCCATGTACGCCCCGGTGGTGACCCGGCTCGATACCTACGGGGTCGATCTCGACGAGACCTGCGCCGCCTACAGCCACGCCGTCCTGAGCCTGCCGGCCTTCGTCGAATGGCGCGACGCGGCGCTTCAAGAGCCCTGGATCGTGCCGGAAGACGAGATCGACTGAAGGCCGGGTCTACGACGGGGCGAAGGCCGGGACCTCGCAGCGGGCGACGGCGACCTTACGCGTGGTCGGCGGGGTGTTGCGGCTGCGGCCGACGAAGCGGGGAATGCCATCCGTGATCACGGCGCCGATGGCGACCGGATCGCCGTTGCTCATGGTCGTGAGCGCATCCGGCTTGGTGGCACCGAGCGGGGCATCGATGATGACCACGTCCGCATCCCGCCCCGGCCTGAGGAAGCCGCTGTTCAGCCGTAGATCTCGGCCACGTTGCCCGTCGAGGCGGCGATCATCCAGGTCGGGTCGAAGCCCGCGAGCGACGCGATGTTCACCATCGTGTAGATCATGCCGAGCGGCATGACGCCGCTGCCGGTGGCGTGTCGGTCGCGATCAGGAAGCGGTCGAAGGCGTCGTGCTTGCGGGCAGCCTCGGCGCAGAGCAGCGTGGTCCGCAGATTGCCGGCGGTGCAGACCTGCATGGCGATCCCGGTCTCCGCCGCCACCTGCTCGAAATAGCGGTCCTCGATGGCGACCGGCCCGCCGTTTATGTGGAAGGAAACCGTCGGGTCGATGGCGATCAGGTCCTCGCCGGTGATGGGGAAGGAGCCGGGGATCGAGGCGCCGCCGGTGTGCAGCGTGGTGAGCAGGCCGGCCTCCCTGGCGTGGCGCACCAGGGCCACGTAGTCGCGCGCCGTCTCCACCGCACCGAACCCTGCCTTGGCGAGCCACACGCCGTCGCGGTGCACGTCGTCGAAATCGGCACGAGTGAGGCCCGGCTCCAGGATGATGGAGCCGCCGTGTACGCGCATGCCCCCCGGCCGGTAATGCTCGAAGCACTTGAAGGCCGCGACCGCCAGCGCCTTGACCCCGGCGGGGTCCTTCGGCCGGCCCGGCACGTGCACCTCGGAGGCGGAGATGGCTGTGGTGGTGCCGCCGTGGACGTAGCTCGTGAGGTAGCCCACGGTGTTCTGGCGCGGCGTGAAGTCGCCGAAGGTGACGTGGACCTGGGAATCGATCAGCCCCGGAATCGCCGTCGCTCCGCCGGCGTCGATGACGACATCGCAGGCATCGACGGCGGCGCCCTCCACAGTGCCGACAGCTTCCAAAATGCCGTCGGCCGCGATAAGCGCATCGCCGTCGACGAAGGGTGCGCGCCAGTCGCCCGAGACGATGGCGCCGAGATTGACGACCGCGACCCTCACGGCTGGCGAGGGCCTTCGTTGCTGGCCATCAGGCCCTCCAGGATGCGCTCGGCGCCGGCCCAGTCGTAGCGCCTGAAGCAGTGCGCGGTGGTGACGAACTTGGCGCCTGCGTAAAACATCTCGTACTGGGTGTGGCGGCTGGCGAATTCGGAGCCCACGGCGTCCCAGGCGAGCTTCATCAGCGCCATCCGCTCGGTCGCGCCATCGCCCGGCCGCGCGGAGACCTGGGTGCGCTCGATCAGGGGCGCGATCGCCGGATTGTCGAGGTCCGCAGCCGATGACGGCAACATGATCAGGCTGCCGCCTGCGAGCGAGCGTATCCGGTCGATAATGCGCGGATAGAGGGCCTGGGTCTGGACCTGGGCGGCGTACATCATGCTCGCATTCGGCACGTAGTAATCGCCGATCATGCCGCCCGCGCTCTCCATGCCGTAGAGCAGGCCCTCAACGGTCGCGACCTCGGAGCGCCATCTCGCCAAGCTGCTCGCGCACAGGTCGCCATCGCCACCGTGCCGATGGTCTCGGCGATGCGGCGCGCCACAGCCAGCAGGAATTTCAGCTTCACCACCAGGCGGATTTGCGACTGGTAGTTCTGGAGCACGTGGCCCGCCGTATCGTGGAACTGCGCCCGGCACATGTCGGTGTCGCCGAGGAGGAAGATCCGCTCCCACGGCACCTTCACGTCGTCGAAGTAGACGACGGAGTCGTTCTCGTCGAAGCGGTGGGAGAGCGGATTGTCCCACGGGCTCGTGGCGCTCGCCTCGTAGCTCTTGCGCGAGAGCACCTTGAGGCCGTGCGCATCGAGCGGGAGCGCGAAGGAGATGGCGAAGCGCTCCTCGCCCGGCTTCAGCGGCTGCAGGTTCGCGACCAGGATCTCCTCCGCCATGACCGAGCCGGTGCCGAGCATCTTCGCCCCGCGCACGGTCACGCCGTCTGCGTCCTCGTCGACGACACGCATGGTCATCTCTTCGCTCGCCTGCTCGCCCCAGGCCTTGGAGCGGTCGCCCTGCGGGTTGATGATGACGTAGGTGAGATAGAGGTCGTTATCGCGCGCGTAGGCGTAGTAGTCGCGGAGCGCACTCGCGAAGCGCGCGCCGTGACGCTCGAAGACCTCGATCCCCATCGCCTGCCCGGTGATCGAAGAGGCCAGGTGATCCGGCGAGCGCCCCAGGAATCCGCCATGAAGCTCGGCCCAGGCGGTCAGCGCTTCGCGCCTCGCGACCAGCTCGGCGTAGCTCCGCGGCATCTGCCAGGCGCGGTTCACGCGGCGGCCGGTCCCGGTCTCGAAGGTCATCCGCTCGACGTTCGCCTCGGCCGCCTGAAAGTCGTAGAGGGCGGCTGCCGAGCGGCAGGCGGCGGCGAACGCCGGGTGGTCGGCCACCCGCGTAATCAACGCGCCGTCGAGGTAGACCTCCCGGTCCTTGTCGAGGGCCCGCAGGTGGGCGGCGCCGTCCTTGACGCTCATCGGGCGATCATAGCGTGTTTCCCAGGCCGAGATTCTCCCTGAGCGTCGGCCCGGCATAGTTTCGTGATAGAGGCCGCGGCGCTGCAGCTCGGGTACCACGAGGCGCGCGAAATCCTCGTAGGCGCCCGGCATGTGGGTCGCGGCGAGCACGAATCCGTCGCAGGCCTCGCCCTCGAACCATTCCGCCATCTCATCGGCGACGGCGGCGGTGTGCCGACGAAATGAGGCATCTCGTTGACCGTGCCGCGGCGGCTGTAGGTTACGAAATCCTCGACCGTCGGATGCGGATTGCCGCTGAGCGTCACGACCCGGTCGCGGATCGCCTGCAGGCCGCTGATGGAGGCCATCTCCTCGTCGGTGAAGGGCTCGCCCGCAGGTTTCGTCGCGAAATCGTAGTTGAGCGCCTCGGAGAGCAGCGCCAGCGTGTCGATGGGCCGCGCGAGGCTGGCGATGAAAGCGGCCTTCTCCTCCGCCTCCGCCTGGGCTTCGGCGACCGTGACGTAGGCCGCCGGCGCCACACGGTAGGAGCCCGGCTCGCGGCCGGCGGCGGTCGCGGCATCGCGCGTCGCGGCGTAGGCCTTCTGGCCGAACTCCAGGTTGGGATAGATCGCGAAGATCACGTCGGCCCAGCGCGCCGCGAACTGCCGCCCCCGCCCGCTCTGGCCGGCCTGGATCACGATGGGCCGGCCCTGGGGCGTGCGCGGAACGGTGAACGGCCCGCGCGAGCGCAGGAAGCGGCCCTCGTGGTCGAGGCGATGCACGCCTGCCGGGTCGGCGAAGACGCTGCGCTCCTTGTCGAGGACGATCGCGTCTGGATCCCACGCCTCCCAGTGGCCTAGCACCACCTCCATGAACTCGTCGGCACGGTCGTAGCGCTCGTTATGGTCGATCACCCTGTCCGCGCCGTAGTTCGCGGCCTCGGAATCGTTGAGCGAGGTCACGACGTTCCAAGCCGCCCGGCCGCCGCTCATGTGATCGAGGGTCGAGAACATGCGCGCCACGTGGAACGGCTGGTAATAGGTGGTCGAGCAGGTCGCGCCCAGCCCGAGCCGCGTGGTCACCGCCCCCATCATCGTGAGGATGGGAATGGGGTCCATCTTGACCACCCGCACCCCGTTGCGCACCGCTTCGGCATGGTCGCCGCCATAGATGTCGGGCAGCGCCAGCCGGTCGTCGAAGAAGGCGAGATGGAACTTGCCGGCTTCCAGAATGCGCGCGATCCGCTGGTAGTAGTCGGCCGTGAGGAAGTCCGTGGCGGACTCCGGGTGACGCCAGGACGCGGGATAGTTGGAGCAGTTCTGCGCCTGGAGGAAGCCCACCAGGGACCATCTGCCGCTTGCTCATGCTCACCCTTGCTCGTCGTCACCCACCGGGACCGGGAGGCGGTGCCGGGCGCCGCTGGAACCGGGGTTTAGCACGGTGTGCGCGCCTTTGGCAGGCGCGTGGCGGGCCGGCCGCGACTGTGCCATCCTGCCGGCGTGGCCGGGAGCGGCTATCGCCGCGCGTGGAGGCGTCATGGAGCTTGGGATCTGCCTCAAGGGCGACCTCGATGTGCGCCGCACCATCGCGCTCGCCCATCAGGCCGAGGCCGCCGGCTTCGACTACATGTGGTTCGCGGATTCGCACATTCTGTGGTCCGACATCTATACGCAGATGGCGGTCTGCCTGGACCACACGCGCAGCCTCCGCGTCGGCCCGCTGGTGACCAATCCCAAGGTGCGCGACTGGTCGGTGGCCGCGAGCATCTTCGCGAGGCTCGTGCAGATCGGGGACGGCCGCCTTGACGTGGCGGTCGGCCGGGGCGACAGCTCGGTGCGCGTCATGGGGCAGAGGCCCGCAACGCTGAAGCAGCTCACCGCCTTTTGCGATGCGCTCCGCACCATGCTGCGGGGCGAAGCGTGCGAATACGAAGGCGCGAGCGGGCCGGTCCAACTCGACTGGGCCGATCCTTACGCGCTGCCGATCTGGATCGCCGGATACGGGCCGCGCGCGCTCGCCGTCGCCGGCGCGCACGGGGACGGGCTCGTGATCCAGCTCGGCGATCCGGGCCTCTGCCGGTGGATGGCGGGCCAGGCGATCGCGGCGCGCGAGGCCGCCGGCCTCGATACGGCCGGATACCGGGTGCTCGCCTGCGCGCCAGCCTGGATCGGCGACCGTGAGACCGCGATTGCCCAAACCAGCTGGTTCCCCGCCGTGGTCGGCAACCACGTCGCCGATATCGTGGAACGCCACGGCGCCGGCTCGGGCCTGGTGCCGGAGAGCCTGACCGCCTTCATCGCCGCCCGGCAGGGACGCGGCGCGGACGAAGGCTACGACTATCACCAGCACGCGGTCGCGGGCTCCGACAACGTGCACTACGTCACCGACGCGATCACCGAATCCTTTTGCCTGATCGGCCCGGCCGAGGCCCACGTGGAAAAGCTCAAGGCGCTGGAGGCCGCCGGCGTCACGCAGTTCACGCTCTACCTGATGACGGAAGAGCAGGAGCGACTGATCGGCGCGTACGCGTCCAAAGTCATGCCCCACGTCCGCTAGCCGGGGGCGGGGCGCGCTCGAAGGATGCTCCGCCACCTGTTCGGCGCGAGCGCGACCGCAGAGACGATGCTCGACGCGATCGCGCGCGATGCGCGGGAGACTGGCGCGCGGACCGGACGGCCGGTCTTCGGCGACGCTGTCCTCGACGCCATGCGCACGGTGCCGCGCGAGGCCTTCGTGCCCAAGGCGGAGGCGGCCTTCGCCTACGAGAACAGGCCGCTCCCCATCGGCCACGGCCAGACCATCTCGCAGCCCTTCATCGTCGCCCTGATGACCGAGCTCCTGGACGTCGAGCCGGGCGCGCACATCCTGGAAATCGGCACCGGCTGCGGCTACCAGACCGCCATCCTCTGCGCGTTGGGCGCGAGGGTCTGCTCGGTCGAGGTCGTCGAGCCGCTGGCAACGGCGGCAACGGCACGTCTGGCGGGCCTGGGCTATTCCGGGGCCTCGGTCCGCGCGGGCGACGGTCATGGAGGCTGGCCGGAGCATGCGCCCTTCGACGGCATCATCGTCACTGCAGCGGCACCTTCCGTGCCGCCGTCGCTCCCGGATCAGCTCAAGCCCGGCGGCTGCCTGGTGATCCCCGTCGGCCGCGCCGCCGCGACCCAAAACCTACAACGCATCTGCAGGCGGGCCGACGGCTCAAGCGAGGCGAAGACGGTGCTTCGGGTGGCATTCGTCCCGCTGACCGGCGGTCAGCCTTAGCGCTCTTCGAAGGGCTCCAGCTCGGCCAGATAGGCCAGCACGCGATCGAGCGGCTCGACGTCGCAATACTTCATGTCGAGGTCGAACAGGTTCCACTCGATCGCGGCAGGCACGCGGTCGCCCACGCATTCGCGAACGATGACGGTGCGGAAGCCCTCGCCGAGCGCATCCTCCACCGTGTGCCTGACGCAGCTCGCCATGGTGACGCCGGTGCAGATCAGCGTGTCGATGCCACCGGCGCGCAGGATGCCGCCGAGATGAGTGCCGGCGAAGGCGCTCGGCCGCTTCTTGACGATCAGCGTGTCGACGCCTTCCTCGAGCGGCACGCGGTCGTCGATCTCGGTCGCGTCCGTGCCCAGCATGAGGTCCTCGAAGGGCTTCTTAAGCGGGAAGGCCCCCATGTCGAAGCGGCTGCAGAAGGCGGTGGTGGTGTAGATGATCGGCACCTTCTTGGCACGGGCGGCGGCCAGAAGGCGCTGCACGCCGGGGATGATCCGCTCGTCCATGTCATCGCAGGAGAAGCGGTAGCCCGGTCGGGTCCAGGCGTTGGCGAGGTCGATGTTGAGGAGCGCCGGCCTCGTGCCGAAGCCCGAGCGCTGGTTCCAGCCGCGCGTCTGATAGAGCCCGGCATCGCCGGAGAATATGGTGTCGAGCGCCTTGCGGACCTTGTCGTCCAGCGGCATCGCCGCCTCCCTCATTGTGCGCCCTGCGGCGGGCCGGCGGAGCGGGCTAGGCGAGAGGCGGACGCCGGTCTGCCCAGGGCGCCGCCTCTTCGAACGCCGCGGCGGCGCGCAGGATGTCCACCTCACGGTTGATCCCGGCCACCATCTGCAGGCCGACCGGCAGACCCGAAGCGGTGAAGCCCGCCGGGATCGAAGCCGCCGGCTGGCCGGTCAGGTTGAAAGGATAGGTGTAGTAGACCCAGGAGACGATGTTGCGGGCCCCCAGCCCCGGCGGCGTGTCGTGGCCCACGTCGAAGGCGGCGCAAGGCAACGTCGGCGAGAGCAGCAGGTCGTAACGCTCGAAGAGCTGGCGCATTTGCTCGCGAAACTCGTAGCGGGCGAAGACCTGGGTGAAGAATTCCACCATCGAGCGGTCGAGCCCGGCGCTGAGCGTCGCCACCACGGCCGGATCCAGCTCATCCGGCCGCTCGGCCATCAGGTCCTTCAGCTTGGTGCCGATGCCGCCGTAGAACTCCGCCATCCAGAGCTCGACCGGGTCGTGCCGAGGGCGTCCTCGACCAGCTCGACGGTGCAGCCCAGCGCCTCGAAGCGCCTGGCGGCAGCCTCGCACAAGCGCCGCGACCTCAGGCTCGGGCTGCGCGTAGCCAAGGGTCGGGCTCCAGGCGATGCGCAAGCCCTCCGCGCCCGCATCGCAGGCGGCGAGGAAATCCGGCGTGGGCTCGGCGACGCCGAAGGCATCGCGCCGGTCGTGGCCCGCCATGACACCGAGCAGGAGCGCGGCATCCCGCACCGTGCGCGCGATCGACCCCACGTGGGCGAGGGTCGGCGCTGCCGAGACCGGGAAGATCGGCACCCGGCCGAACTGCGCCTTGATGCCGAAGAGGCCGCAGAGCGCAGACGGGATGCGCACGGAGCCGCCGCCATCGGTGCCGAGCGCGAACGGCGTGAGGCCGGCCGCGACGCTCGCGCCCGCGCCTCCACTGGAGCCGCCGGACGTCTTCGTCAGGTCCCATGGATTGCGGGTGATCCCGCTGAGCGGGCTGTCGCAGACCGCCTTGCAGCCGAACTCGCTTGTGGTGGACTTTCCGATAATGCAGCCGCCGGCTTGCCTGATCCGCTCCACCGACGGCGCATCGAAGTCGACCACGTTGTCCGCGAAGGGCCGGGAGCCGAAGGTCCAGGGCACGCCCGCGACCGGCACCAGATCCTTGACCGAGACCGGAAGGCCCGCAATCGCACCCCCCTCGCCTGCGGCAATCGCGCGCTCCGCCTCGCGCGCCGCGGCGAGCGCCTGCTCGGGCGTGCGGTTGACGAAGGCGTTGATCTGCGGCTCCAGCGCGTCTTGCCGGCTGAGCGTGTCCTCGACCAGCTCCACCGGCGAGATGCTGCGTTCCGCCAGCAGGCCCTTGAGTTCGAGCGCCGTCATGTAGGCGAAGCTCATCGCGGACTCCTGTTCAGATGGATGTTCAGATGGCGCCGAGGCCGCGGTCGAGCACGGTTTCCCGCCTGGCTATGCAGGCCGCGAAGCGCGCCTGCATCTCCGCCGCATCGAGGTCGCGGCCGATCACAACGATCCGGGTCTCGACTTCGCCGCGCGGCCACGATTCCGCATAGGTCGGCGGGCTGAAGGTGGCCTGCACGCCCTGGAATATGACCGGCTTCTCGACATTCTGGAAATGCACCATGCCCTTCACCCGGAAGAGGTTCTCGCCCTTCTCCTGCGCCAGATCGAGGAAGAAGCGGAGCAGCGCATTCCACTCCAGCGGCTCGCGGCTCTGCAGGCAAACGGCGCCGACGCCCGGCGTATGGACATGATCGTCGTGGGCATGATCGCCAGCCTCTCCACTGGCGGAGGCCGGCTGGTCAGCGCCGATCCAGGCACCCACCATGTCGTCCCGCCGCTTGGGCTCGAAGAGGTCGAGGTCCAGCAGCCGGTCGATGGGCAGCGCCCCATGGGTGGTGACTTCCTTGACCGAGAAGGGGTTGAGGCGCTCGACCGCCGCCACGGCGTCTGCGAACTCAGCGTCGTCCACCAGGTCGCGCTTGTTGAAGATCAACTTGTCGGCAATGGCGATTTGCTTCTCCGCCTCCGGCGAGCGCGCGATCTGGCCAATCACATGCTTCAGGTCGACCACCGTCAGCACCGCGTCGAGGCGGAAGGTGAGGTCGAGCTTCATGTCGGTGTAGAAGAGCCGGGCCAGCGGCGAGGGATCGGCGATTCCCGTGGTCTCGATCACGATCTTGTCGAAGTCCACCCTGGGGCTCGGCCAGGCCCACCTTGCGCAGGAAGAGCCGGTTGAGCCCGTCCATCAAATCGCCCTGGGCCGCGCAGCAGATGCAGCCGTTGGTGAGCTCCAGCATGTCCTCATTGGCGCGGGCAATCAGGTCGCCGTCGATCCCGATCTCGCCGAACTCGTTGACGATGACCGCGATCTTGCCGGCATCGGGCGCGCTGAGGAGCCGGTTGACGAGCGTGGTCTTGCCGGCACCGAGGAAGCCCGTCAGCAGCGTGATGGGGATGCGCTCGTCGACCGAGCGATCGTCGATGCGGGTCACCGGCGCCTCACCCGTCCGCAAGCGCCGGAGGGCTAATCGTCGAGGATCGCCCAGGCGCGGACCGGCGCGCCGCTGCCGTTGCCGATCTTGATCGGGGGCCCATAGAACATGAACTCGCCCTTGCCGACCAGCTCCTCGAGATTGATCAGCCACTCATAGTGGGCGATGCCTCGATCGCGGCAGACCCGGTGGTTGGGGAAGAGATTGTTCGACGGCTTGTCCGTCGACGGGCCTTCGACTCCATGCATCTTGGAGCCCCTGTCGGCGAGCCAATGGGTCGCTGCTGCGGTGATGCCGGGGTTGCTCCACACCGATTCACGTCGGGGTAGTGGCGGTTGTGGAGGCCTGTATTGAGCAGCACGATATGGCCGTCCACCTTGACGCCGCCTTTCTCCTCCGCCTCCTCGAAGTCGGCCACGTCGATATCGCCGAGATCGGGGATATAGGTGAGATCCCAGCACACCGCCTTGCCCATGAACATGTCGAGCGGCATCCGGTCCACCGACAGGCCCTCGGGATTGACGTGGTAGAAGGCGTCCACATGGGTGCCGATGTGGTCGATCATGCCCATGTAGGTGGTCGCGAAGGAGAGCCTGTCGTCCTCCGTGCCTAAGAAGAACTGCTCGCGGGTCTGGGCGTGGGTGTAGTGGGGCACGATGACCGGGCGCTGAAACAGCTTGTGCGCCGGCATGTTGTCGGTCAGCGTCAACGTCAGGTCCACCATCCGCTCAGCCATCCCCGGATCCCCCTTCTCGTTCCACACGGCGACCACGCGCGCGGCCTGCAGCTTACCAGCGGCATCCACAGCGCGCCACAGCGCGACTGTCGACACGGCATTTCGGCGCACGCGCATGGCGGCTTGTGTTTGGCGAGAGGCCAGCTACCCTCGCCCTCGGTCGCAGCCGAAGGGAGCACGTGATGTACAAAACCAGCGACGGGGAGGAGTTGTTTGTCGTCGACGGGCACACCCATTCTGGGATGCCGCGCCGGCAAACCAGCGCAATATCCACGGCAAGCAGTTCATCGATTGCTTCTACGCCTACCACAGCGCGCTCAGCCCCGAGCAGGAAGTCTGGCCCAAGGAGAAGTTCGAGAAGTACGACGCGGAGACGATGGTCCGCGACCTCTTCGTCGACGGGCCGGTGGACATGGCGATCATCCAGCCGACCTATCTCAAGGAGTTCTACATCGAGGGCTTCAACACCACCGAGCAGAACGCCGTCATCACCCAGCAGCACCCGGACCGCTTCATTCTCAACGGCTCATTCGATCCGCGCGAGGGCACCGCGGCGCTCGAGAACATCCACGCGCTGAAGGAGACGTATGGAATCAGGGGCGTCAAGCTCTACACCGCGGAATGGCGCGGCGCATCGCGCGGCTGGCGGCTCAACGACACCGATGCCTATCGCTGCTTCGAGCTCTGCGAGAAGCTCGGCATCACCAACATTCATGTCCACAAGGGGCCGACCATCACGCCGCTGGCCAAGGACGCCTTCGACTGCCACGACGTGGATTACGCGGCGACCGACTTCCCCAACCTCAAATTTCATCGTGGAGCATGTCGGGCTGCCGCGCCTCGACGACTTCTGCTGGATCGCCGTGCAGGAGGCGAACGTCTGGGGTGGGCTTGCGGTGGTGATGCCCTTCATGCACGCGCGCCCGCGCTATTTCGCCGAGGTGATTGCGGAGCTTCTGTTCTGGGTGGGCGAGGACAAGCTGACCTTCGCCAGCGACTACGCCATCTGGACCCCGAAGTGGCTGGTGGAGAAGTTCTGGGCGTTCGAGCTGCCGGACGACATCAAGCAGGAGCGCGGCGTCGACCTCACGCCGGAGGTCAAGAAGAAGATTCTCGGGCTCAACGCCGCCCGGCTCTACGACATCGACATCGACGCGGCCAAGGCAAAGCTTTGGAGCTAGGGCGCGGGCGGTGAACGGGCAAGAACAGGCAGCGCGACGCAGGCCGCGAGGCCGAGGTCCGGGCGCGGCTTGCCACCGTCACCGACCCCGAGCTCGACGAGCCGGTGACCGATTTGGGTTTCGTGGAGGGGGTGACGGTCGCAGCAGACGGCGCCGTCGCCATCGACTTCAGCCTGCCGACCTACTGGTGCGCCGCGAACTTCGCCTACATGATGGCCGAGGACATGCGCGACGCGGTCGCCACGCTGCCGTGGGTGACGGGTGTCGTCCCCCGCCTACAGGCGCACATGTGCGCAGATCAGGTCAATCGGGGGGTCGCCGAGGGCCTCGATTTCGGCGCCGCCTTCGGCGAGGCGGGAGAAGACGACGCTCTCGCCAGCCTGCGCACGACCTTTCGGCGCAAGGCGTTTCAGGGGCGGCAAGAGGCGCTGCTGCGTGCCCTGTTGGTGCAAGGCGTTGCCAAGTCCGTGCTGGTGGCAATGACCGTTCAGGCGCTGGAAGGCACCGCCATCGCCGGGGCCGAGGGCGTCAGCCTGAAACGCCGCTACCTGGAAATGAGAGCCCGCGTTGGCGGCCCGGCAGGCGCGGACGCGTTGGCCTTCGTCACTCCCGACGGCGCACCGCTCTCTGAATCCGGCTTCGACGAGCATCTGCGCACGCTCGCCAGCGTTCGCATCGCCATGGACTTCAACGGCGCGCTCTGCCGCGGCCTGCTCGCCGCCCGCGACGCGCGCCTCCGGAGCGACGCAGCCCGAGGGCGACACACTCCCGTCATAGCCAGTACCGACGTGTGGCAGCCAAACCCGGCTGCCGGCGTCGGCGGTCGCCCGTCAGGCCTGATCGAGGGCCTGATCGAGGTCGGCGATGATGTCGGCGATACTCTCGATACCGACGGAGAGACGCACCACGTCCGGCCCGGCACCGGACTTGGTCTTCTGCTCGTCGGTGAGCTGGCGGTGCGTGGTGGACGCCGGGTGGATGATGAGGCTCCGCGTGTCGCCGATATTGGCGAGATGCGAGAACATGTTCACCGCATCGACCACCTTGAGGCCCGCTTCGTAGCCGCCCTTGACGCCGAAGGTGAAGACCGCGCCGGCGCCGCGCGGCAGATACTTCTGGGCAAGCGCGTAATAGGGGTTCGATTCGAGCCCGGCATAGGAGGCCCAAGAGACCTTGGGGTGGTCCTCCAGATAGCGGGCGACCGCGAGCGCGTTCGAGCAATGGCGCTCCATGCGGAGCGGCAGCGTCTCCACCCCCTGGAGCAGGTTCCAGGCCGCCTGTGCGGCCATGCAGGGGCCGTAATCCCTGAGCGCCACGGCGCGCACCTTCATGGTGAAGCCGAAATCGCCGAAGGTCTCGGCGAAGGTCAGGCCGTGATAGGCCGGGTCCGGCTTCGTCATGCTCGGGAACTTGTCGTTCTGCCACCAATCGAAGCGGCCCGATTCGACGACCATGCCGCCCATAGTGTTGCCGTGGCCGCCGATGAACTTCGTGGTCGAGTGAACCACGAGATCGGCGCCGTGCTCGAAGGGCCGGCAGAGATAGGGCGAGGCGAGCGTGTTGTCGACGATGAGCGGCACGCCGTGGCGTTTTGCGACCTCTGCGATCGCTTCGAGATCGAGCACGATGCCGCCGGGGTTGGCCAGTCCCTCGCAGAAGAGGAACTTGACCTTGTCGGTCATCGCCCGTTCGATATTTTCGGGCTCCGTCATGTCGACGAAATGGCAGGTCCAGCCGAGCTTCTTGAAGCTCACGCCGAACTGAGTGATCGAGCCGCCATAGAGATTGTTGGACGAGATGAACTCGTCGCCGCTCTCCAGCAGCGTCGCGCCCACCAGGAACTGCGCCGCATGGCCGGTCGATGCCGCGACGGCGCCGCGCCCGTTCTCCAGCGCCGCGACCCGCTCCTCGAGCACGGCGACGGTGGGGTTGGTGATGCGCGAATAGATGTAGCCGAAGGCCTGTAGATTGAAGAGCTCGGCCGCGTGGTCGGCATCGTCGAAGGCATAGGACGTGGTCTGGTAGATGGGCGTGGACCGCGCGCCGGTGACCGGGTCGGGCCGCGCGCCGGCGTGAACCGCCAGCGTTTCAATGCCGTATTCGTGCTGCGGCGCGGCCTCGGCGGCCTGCGCTTTGAGGGGTTGCATCTCGTTCATGCGTTGAGCGGCCTTGCCCGCTTGGCGGAAACGATCCGCGAGTTGATGCCGCTCCAGCTCAGCTCGCCCGAGAGCCGGGCGAACTCGATCTTGGGGCAGCGGTTCATGACGACCGTGAGCCCGGCCTCCTCGGCGAGCTGCGCGGCGTGGTCGTTGCGCACCGTGAGCTGCATCCACAGCACCTCGATGCCCTTCTCGTCCTTGTTCGCGATCACGTCCTTGGTGATATCCAGCGCCTCCTCCGAGGTGCGAAAAATATCCACCATGTCGAGCTTATCGGGACATTCCGCAAGACTACCATAAACGGTCTCGTCCAGGATCGTCTCCCCGGCCCGGCCGGGGTTGATCGGGATCACCCGATAACCCTTCTTGGTCAGGTACTTCATCGCGTAGAAGCTGGGCCGGCGCCACTGAGTGCTGGCACCCACCATGGCGAAGGTCTTGACCCGGCGCAGAATTCGCCGCAGGTGATCGTCGGTGTAGCCGTCGTGCTGCGGCAGGAAGAGCGAGCGGGTGCCCGTCCGTCGACTTGATCGCGACATCGACCATTGTGAAGACTTCCGTAAGGCCAGCGGGAGCGCGGGAGGCGCACAAGTAGCCCCCGTGCCCCGGCCAGTCAAGGCGCCCACGACGCATGCGGCGGCGCCGATGCCTCGGCCGCGAGTGACACGGAAGGACGGTTCCTGTATTCGGGCATCGACACATGAAGAAGTTCTCGATCTTCAGCCTGGCGCGCAACGCGCTGAGCCACCACGAGCACTGGCCGGAGCAGTGGCGGAGCCCCGCGCCGAAGCCGGCCTACGATGTCGTCATCATCGGCGCCGGCGGTCATGGCTTGGCCACCGCCTACTACCTCGCCAGCCTCCACGGCATCACCGATGTCGCGGTGCTGGAGAAGGGCTGGCTCGGCGGCGGCAACACCGGGCGCAACACCACGGTGATCCGCTCCAACTATCTGTGGGACGAGAGCGCCGCGCTCTACGAGCATTCGCTGAAGCTCTGGGAGGGGCTGGCGCAGGAGCTCAACTACAACCTGATGTTCAGCCAGCGCGGCGTGCTGAACCTGATCCACAACGTCCACGACCTGCAGGAGGCGACCCGGCGGGTCAACGCCAACCGGCTCAACGCGGTCGACGGCGAGCTCTTGTCCATGGAAGAGGTCAAGGCCTTCTGCCCGATCCTCAACACCTCGACGAACACGCGCTACCCGATCATGGGCGGCACCTGCAGCGGCGGGGCGGCAACGCGCGCCATGACGCCGTCGCCTGGGGCTTTGCGCGGGCGGCGGACGCGCGCGGCGTGGACATCATCCAGAATTGCGAGGTCACCGGCATCGACGTGAGGCCGGCCGGGTGACCGGGGTGCAAACCACCCGGGGCGCGATCGCCGCGCGCAAGGTGGGCATCGTTGTCGCAGGCCATAGCTCGGTGCTGGCCAAGATGGCGGGCTTCCGCCTGCCGATCGAGAGCCACCCCCTGCAGGCGCTGGTCTCGGAGCCGCTCAAGCCGGTGCTGCACTGCGTCATCATGTCGAATGGCGTGCACGTCTACGTCAGCCAGTCCGACAAGGGCGAGCTCGTGATCGGCGCAGGTCTCGACCCGCCCAACTCCTACAGCCAGCGCGGCGGCCTGCACACGATCGAGGATCAGATGGGGGCGCTGGTGGAGCTGATCCCGATTTCAGCCGGGTGCGCATGATGCGCTCCTGGGCCGGCATCGTGGATGTCTGCCCCGACGCCTCACCCGTCATCGGCAAGACGCCCGTGGACGGGCTCTTCATCAACGGCGGCTGGGGCACAGGCGGCTTCAAGGCGACGCCGGGCTCCGGCTGGGTGTTGGCGCATACCATCGCGACCGGCGAGCCGCACCCGCTCAACGCGCCCTTCGCCCTCGACCGCTTCACCTCGGGCGCGCTGATCGACGAGCACGCGGCGGCGGCCGTGGCGCACTAGGGGACGCAGGATGCTCTGGATCGACTGCCCCTGGTGCGGCGCCCGGCCCGAGACCGAGTTTCGCTACGGCGGCGAGGCCCATATCGCGCGCCCTGAGCCTGCGGCGACCGACGATGCGGGCTGGGCCGACTATCTCTTCATGCGAAGCAACCCCAAGGGTGTCCACGCCGAGCGCTGGATGCACCGGGAAGGCTGCCGGCGCTGGTTCAACGCGCTGCGCGACACCGTCAGCAACGACGTGCTCGCGATCTATCCCATGGGCACGCCGCGGCCCGATGCGTCCGGCGGCGAGGCGGGGAACGAATAGTGCGCTTCCGTCTCAAGGAGGGTGGGCGGATCGACCGGGCGCACCGTCTCCGCTTCACCTTCAACGGACGCAGCTTTGAGGGCTTCGCCGGCGACACGTTGGCGTCCGCGCTGATTGCGAACGGCACCCATCTCACGAGCCGGAGCTTCAAGTATCACCGGCCCCGCGGCATCCTCACCGCGGGCGCGGAGGAGCCGTCCGCCCTGGTCCAGCTCGGGACCGGCGCGCGCACGGAGCCCAACCTCCGCGCGACGCAGGTGGAACTCTACGACGGGCTCACCGCCTCAGGCGTCAACGCCTGGCCGAGCGCCAACTGCGACCTTGCTGCCTGGACCGGGCGGCTCGCGCCGCTCTTCCCCGCCGGCTTCTACTACAAGACCTTTCCTCTGGCCGGCGTCGTTCTGGAAGGCGCTCTACGAGCCCGCCATCCGGCGCATGGCGGGGCTCGGCCGCGCGCCCGAGGCACCCGACCCCGACTCCTACGACAAGATGTCTGTCCACTGCGACGTGCTCGTGGTGGGCGGCGGGCCGGCGGGGATCGCTGCGGCGCTGGCCGCCGGCGAAGCCGGCGCGCGGGTCCTGCTCGTGGACGAGCAGGCGACGCTCGGCGGCGCGTTGATCGGCCTCCGCCACCGGGTCGATGGCGCTGACGGCGCGGCCTGGGCCGGGTCGGCGGCAGAGCGCCTCGCCGCCCATGCCGGAGGTGCGCGTTCTCACCCGCACGACGCTCTTCGGCTACTACGACCACAACTCGCTGAGCGCGCTGGAGCGCCGCACCGACCATCTGGGGCCGCGGGCGCGCACCGACATGAGCCGCCAGCGCCTGTGGAACATCAAGGCGCGCCGCGTGGTGCTCGCCACCGGCGCCCACGAGCGGCCGCTGGTCTTCGCCGACAACGACCGCCCCGGGATCATGCTGGCCTCGGCGGCGCAGCGCTACCTCAACCACCATGCGGCGCTGCCGGGCAAGCGTGCGGTGCTCTTCACCAACAACGACGACGCCTACGAGGCGGCACACGACATCGTGGATGCGGGCGGCACGGTCGCTGCCGTGGTCGATTGCAGGCCAGAGCCTGCGGCGCTGCTGGCAACCAAGCTGAAGGAGGCCGGCGTAGCCCTCCACACCGGCTCCGTCATCGCCGCCACCCACGGCACGAAGCGGGTCCGCGCCGTCACCCTCGCCACGCTTGGCAGGGATGGCAGGATTGGCGGCTCCTTGCGCCGCATCGCCTGCGATAGCGTGCTCGTTTCCGGCGGCTGGAACCCGGCGGTGCATCTCTTCAGCCAGTCGGCCGGCAAGCTCACGTTCGAGGAGGCGCGCGGGCGTCTTCCTGCCCGGCAGGGCCACGCAGGCGCTGGAGGTGGCCGGCGCCGCCAATGGCAGCTTCGGCCTCACCGCCTGCCTCGCGGAAGGTGCGGCCGCCGGTGCGCGCGCGGCCCAGGCGGCAGGCTTCGGCGACGGCACGGCGCCGGCGGTGCCGCCCGTCGACGCGCCCGAGCCCGGCGCCATCACGCCCTTGTGGCTGGTGCCGGGGCTGAAGCCGCTCGGCCACGGCAAGGCCAAGCACATGGTCGACCATCAGGACGACGTGACCGCGGCGGATATCCAGCTCGCGGCGCGCGAGGGCTTCCGCTCGGTCGAGCACGTCAAGCGCTACACCACCGTCGGCATGGGCACACGACCAGGGCAAGACGTCGAACGTCAACGGGCTCGCCATCCTCGCCGACGCGCTGGGCAAGACCGTGCCCGAGGTCGGCACCACCACCTACCGGCCGCCCTACACGCCGGTCACCTTCGGCGCGCTCGCCGGGCGCGATCGCGGCGCGCTGATGGACCCGGTGCGGCGGACCGCGATGCACGAATGGCACGAGGACCACGGCGCGGTGTTCGAGCCCGTCGGCCAGTGGCACCGGCCCTGGTGGTACCCCAAGCCTGGCGAGGACAAGCACGCTGCGGTGGCGCGCGAATGCCTTGCGGTGCGGGAAGCCGTCGGCATCCTCGACGCCTCCACCCTCGGCAAGATCGATATCAAGGGGCCGGATGCGACCACCCTGCTCGACATGGTCTACACCAACGCCTTCTCGACGCTGAAGGTGGGCCGGGTGCGGTACGGACTCATGTGCGGCGACGACGGCATGGTGTTCGACGATGGCACCACCGCGCGCCTCGGCGAAAACCACTATCTGATGACCACCACGACCGGCAATGCGGCCCACGTGCTGGAGTGGCTGGAGGAGTGGCTGCAGACCGAGTGGCCGGAGCTCAAGGTCTACTGCACCTCGGTCACCGAGCAATGGGCGACTGTCGCCCTCGCCGGCCCCAAGGCCCGCGACGTACTGGCCGCGATGGCGCCGGAGTTGGCGCTCGACACCGACTCTTTCCCCTTCATGAGCGTGAAGGAGGGCATCGTCGCAGGCGTGAACGCGCGCGTCTTCCGCATCAGCTTCACCGGCGAGCTCAGCTTCGAGATCAACGTGCCCTGGCACCACGGGCGCCACCTGTGGGAAGCGCTGATGCAGGCGGGCGCCGAGCACGGCATCACCCCCTACGGCACCGAGGCGATGCACGTGCTGCGGGCCGAGCGTGGCTTCATCATCGTCGGCCAGGAGACCGACGGCACCACCACGCCCCAGGACCTCGGCATGGACTGGATCGTCTCCAAGAAGAAGCCGGATTTCCTGGGCAAGCGCGCCTGGACCCGCGAGGACACGCAGCGGGACGACCGCAAACAGCTCGTCGGCATCCTCACCGACAATCCCAACGCCGTGCTGCCCGAGGGCACGCAGCTCGTGGACAAGCCGGGGCGGCCGCCGCTACCGATGATCGGCCACGTCACCTCCAGCTATGCGAGCCCGACGCTGGGTCGCTCCATCGCGCTCGCGCTGGTGAAGGGCGGCCGCGCGCGCATGGGCGAGACAATCCACGCGGCGCCCGAGAGCGGCTTCCTCCCCTGCAAGGTCACGGAGCCGGTGTTCTACGATCCGGAAGGAGCCAAGCGCGATGGCTGAGGCAGCGGCGCCGCGCAGCCCGCTCGCGAGCCTCGCCGACGCGATCGCGGAGGCGCGCGCGGGCGATGCAGTCCTTGTCGAGCGGCCGGCACGGACCAGGCTCAACCTCAGGCTGGATCCCGACGACGCCGACACGCTGACCGCCGCCGGTGCGGCGCTGGGCGGTGCGTTGCCGCTGACGCCCAACACCGCCGCCGCCACCGCCCGCGGCTGGACCCGTGCTCTGGTTCGGCCCCGACGAGTGGCTGGCGACCGGCCCGGCCGCCGAGGGCGCGGCGCTAGCGGACGCGCTCAGAAGATCGCTAGACAGCAAGCACCACGCGCTGACCGACGTGAGCGCCATGTACGCGACGCTTGCGCTCTCCGGCCCGCGGGCGCGCGAGGTGCTGATGAAGGGCTGCCGCCTCGACCTTCACCCGCGCGCGTTTGCGCCCGGCGCCTGCGTGCAGACAGCGCTGGCAAGAGCACAAATGATCCTGCACCAGACCGACGACGATCCCAGTTTCGAGATCACCGTGCGCAACTCCTTCGCCCACTACCTCGCCACCTGGCTCCTCGATGCCATGGCGGAGTACCGGCCGGCCTGAGCGGCAGCTTGTCCCTTCGCCGCCGCTCGCCTATGGTGCGCCGGCGAAAGCGGACGGGGCGGCCGCGTCGGGCACCTGCGGCCGCACGGCGGCGCCGCGCCCCCGGCGCCAGGGGCGGTTCATGGACAGTATTCGCATCAGGGGCGGCCGCCCGCTCGAAGGCGAGATCGAGATCTTTGGCGCCAAGAACGCGGCCTTGCCGCTGATGGCCGCGAGCCTCTTGACCGACGAGACTCTGACGCTCTCGAACATCCCCCACCTCACCGATATCACGACCCTTGTGCACCTCCTCGCCCAGCACGGCGTCGAGATCGGCATGGACGGCAACGCACGACGAGGCGGCAATGCCGGGCGCGTGCTCTCGCTCCGCGCCCGCCAGATCACCAACACCACGGCGCCCTACGAGCTGGTGAGCCGGATGCGTGCCTCCATCCTGGTGCTGGGGCCGCTGCTCGCCCGCACGGGGCGGGCGACCGTCTCGCTCCCCGGCGGCTGCGCCATCGGCACCCGCCCCGTCGATCTGCATATCGACGGGCTCACCCGCCTCGGCGCCCAGGTCGTTCTCGAAGACGGCGACATCAGCGCGCATGCGCGCGGGCGGCTGCGCGGGGCCGAGATCAGGCTGCCCTTCGCCTCGGTGGGTGCGACAGAAAACCTGATGATGGCGGCGACGCTTGCGGACGGCGAGACGGTCATTCGCAATGCGGCGCGCGAGCCGGAAATCGCCGATCTCGCCCACTGCCTGAACGCGATGGGCGCTGACATCAGCGGGGTCGGCAGCGACGAGCTCGTGATCCAGGGCCAGGAGACGCTCTCCGGCACGGACCACCACGTGGTAGGCGACAGGATCGAGGCCGGCACCTATGCACTGGCTGCTGCCATCGTGGGCGGCGATATCGAGCTCTCCGGCGCGCCGTCGGCGCTCCTGCGCTCTTTGCTCGACTACCTGGAGGCCGCCGGCGTTACCATTACTGAGACGCCGCACGGGCTCAGGGTGCGCGGCAACGGCCGGCCGATGGCGACGGACGTGACGACGCGGCCCTATCCCGGCTTTCCTACCGACCTCCAGGCGCAGGCGATGGCCCTGATGACGGTTGCCGACGGCGCCGCGATGATCACCGAGACGATCTTCGAGAACGCTTCATGCATGTGCAGGAGCTGCGCCGCATGGGCGCAGATATCGCCGTGCGCGGCGGCACGGCGCTGGTGCGGGGGGTCGCCTCGTTGACCGGCGCACAGGTGATGGCGACCGACCTCCGGGCCTCGTCGTCGCTGGTCCTCGCAGGGCTTGCAGCCGCAGGCGAGACGGTGGTGCACCGGGTCTATCACCTCGATCGCGGCTATGAGCGGATCGAGGACAAGCTCGCGGCCTGCGGCGCCGAAATCGACCGGGTCCATCATTGACTGCACCGGCGCGTCTCAGACTGCGGGCGGAAGACGCCGGCGATCTCGCCGTGATCTCGGCGTGCCTGGAGGACGCCGTCTTCGCGGTGGGCGAGATGGCCTTCGAGCCTGCCGACAGCCGCTTCGCGGCCATCGTCGTGCGCCGCTGCCGCGAGGCCACGGGCGGTCCCGCGGGCCAGGCGCGCGCTGCGATCCACTTCGATGCGGTGTCTGCGGTCAAGCTGCGCGGGATCGACCGTACGGAGCCCGCGCGGCTGCTCAAGCTCGCGGGCATCATCGCCGAGCCCGGCCCGTCTGCGACCGTGGTGCGGCTTCTCTTCCAGGACGGTGCCGAGGTATGGATCGAGGCCGAACGCCTCGCCGGCCATTTTCAGGACCTGGAGGAGCCGCGGCCGACTTCGGCGGGCGAGCGGGAGCCGGTGCCATGAGCGACGGCCTGCTGCTCGCGCTGCCCAAAGGCAGGATTTGCCCGCGAGCTTACGCCGCTGCTGGCGCGCGCAGGCATCGAGCCGGAGGCCGCGTTCGCGGACGACGGCGCGCGCCAGCTCCGCTTCTCCACCTCGGACCCGGGGCTCGGGCTGATCCGGGTGCGCAGCCTCGACGTCGCCACCTTCGTCGCCTTCGGCGCGGCCCAGCTCGGCGTCGTCGGCAACGACGTGCTGATGGAGTTCGACTACCGCGAGATCTATGCGCCGCTCGACCTCGGCATCGGCCTCTGCCGCATGGTGGTGGCGGAGCCGGCGGAGCTCGCGACCGGGGACGATCCTTCGCGCTGGAGTCACGTGCGGGTCGCCACCAAGTATCCCCGTATGACGCGCCGCCATTTCGCCGCCCGCGGGGTCCAGGCCGAATGCATCAAGCTCAACGGCGCCATGGAGCTGGCACCTGGGCTCGGGCTCTGCCGGCGCATCGTCGATCTGGTGGGCACGGGCGCGACTCTCCGGGCCAACGGCCTGGGTCGAGGTCGAGCATATCGCCGACATCTCCGCCCGGCTCGTGGTCAACCGCACCGCGCTCAAGACCCGGGCCGGCGAGCTCCAGGCCTGGATCGAGCGCTTCGGCGAGGCAGTGAATGGCACGCAAGCTGGATAGCGCGGGCGCCGGCTTCGACGCCGCCTTCGACGCCCTGCTTGCGGATCGCCGGGGCGTGGCGACGGACGTCGACCGAGAGGCTTCGGCGATCGTCGATACAGTACGCGAAGGCGGCGATGCAGCGCTGCTGGACTACACGGCGCGCTTCGACCGCATCGCGCTCGACGCCTGAGCAGATTCGGATTTCGGCGGCAGACATCGCCGCCCACGCGGCCGCAGCGCCCAATTCGGTACGCGACGCGCTCGTGCAGGCGGCGGAACGGATCGAGGCCTTCCACCGCCGGCTCATGCCGGCCGATCTCGACTACCGTGACGACGTCGGTGTCAGGCTGGGTGCCCGCTGGCGCCCGTTGGACGCGGTCGGGCTCTACGTGCCTGGCGGCACCGCCGCCTATCCGAGCACCGTGCTGATGAACGCGATCCCCGCGCGCGTCGCCGGCGTGCAGCGCGTCGCCATGGTCGTGCCGACGCCGGATGGCGCGCTCGACCCTGCGGTGATGGCCGCCTCCGAGATCGCAGGCGTCACAGAGATCTATCGGGTGGGCGGGGCGCAGGCCGTCGCCGCGCTCGCCCACGGCACCGAGACGATTGCGCCGGTGGACAAGATCGTGGGCCCCGGCAACGCCTATGTCGCCGCCGCCAAGCGCCTGGTCTTCGGCACCGTCGGCATCGACATGATCGCGGGCCCCTCCGAGATCCTGGTGGTCGCCGATGGCGCCAATGAGCCGGCGTGGATTGGCGCGGACCTGCTCTCGCAAGCCGAGCATGACGAAGACGCCCAGGCGATCCTGATCACGAACGATAGCGCCTTCGCCACCCAGGTGACGGATGCGGTGGCAGGGCATCTGGCGCGGCTCCCCCGCGCGACTATCGCCGCCGCGAGCTGGCGCCGCCACGGCGCCGTCATCGTCGTTCGTTCCCTCGACGAGGCGCCGGCGCTGATCAATCGCCTCGCGCCCGAGCACCTGGAGCTCGCCGTGGACGAGCCTTTGCCACTGGCCGAGGCCGTGACCAGCGCCGGCGCCATCTTCCTCGGCCGTCACACGCCCGAGGCGATCGGCGACTATGTGGCCGGCCCCAACCATGTGCTGCCGACGGCGCGCAGCGCCCGCTTCTCCTCGGGCTCTCGCCGCTGGATTTCCTCAAGCGCACGACCTTCGTCGGCTGCGACGCCGCGAGCCTCGCGCAAATCGGCCCGGCGGCCGTGACGCTCGCCGAAGCCGAGGGCCTTCATGCCCACGCGCTCTCGGTGGCGCTAAGGCTCGGCGGCGGGTCGGAGTGAGCGCGTGGACCGGGATCCGGCCGGCGAGGCCCGGCTGTTCGATGTCGTGTTGGACGCGGGCGCGGGATTTCGCCGGGGCCCCGATCTTGAGCACGAGCGCCGCATCGCCATCCACGACCTGCTGGAGGAGAACTCCTTCGCGCCGACCGCAGGATCGGGCGGCCCCTTATCGGCTCCGCATCGGCCGCGAGGAGGGGCGGCTCCGCCTCGATGTGGAGGACGAAGCGGGAGAGACGCAGGGCCGCGCCGTGCTGCACCTCGGGTCGCTGCGCCAGACGCTGCGCGACTACGCAACCATTTGCGACAGCTATCACGAGGCGATCAGGACCGCCCCGCGGTCCCGCATCGAGGCGATCGACATGGGCCGGCGCGCCTGCCACAACGACGGCGCCGAGATTATCCGCCGGAGCTGGCCGGCTCCATCGATATCGACGATACGACGGCGCGGCGGCTGTTCACGCTCGTCTACGCGCTCCATGTCCGGGTCTAGTCCCCGCCATGAGCACGCTCCCCGGCAGTATCCTCTTCGCCTGCACGTGGAACTCCGTGCGCTCGCCCATGGCGGAAGGGCTGATGAAGAGCCTCTTCGGCACCCGACTCTTCGTCGATTCGGCGGGCGTGCGCAGCGGCGGCGGGCGTGATCCGTTCGCGGTGCTCATCATGGCGGAGATCGGGATCGACATCGGCGGCCACCGGCCCAAGACCTTCGACGATCTCGAAAGCGAATCGTTCGATATGGTCATCTCGCTCTCGCCGGAAGCCCAGCACAGAGCGATCGAACTCACCCGCACCGCCCATTGCGAGATCGAGTTCTGGCACACCCTCGATCCCAGCGTGGTCGAAGGCAACCGTGAGACCCGCCTGTTCGCCTATCGGGAGGTGCGCGACGGGCTCATGGCGCGGCTGCGCGAGCGCTTCGGCGCACCCCGGCCGCCGGTGGTCTGAGCGTGCCCTCCCCCGCGTCCCGCCCGCCTCTGGTGCTCGCCTCGGCGTCGCCCCGCCGACGTTCGCTTCTGGAGCAGATCGGCTACGCGCCGGACGTTGTGGAGCCTGCGGCGCTCGACGAAGCGGTGCTTCCCGGCGAGCAGCCGGAGGCGCACGCGGCCCGGCTCGCCCAGGCCAAAGCCTCAGCCGTTTCAGCCCGCCATCCGGGTGCGTTCATCCTCGGCGCCGATACGGTGGTGGCGTGCGGTCGGCGAATCCTGGACAAGGCGGAGACCGAGGAGAGCGCGCGGCGCTGCCTCGCCCTCCTCTCCGGCCGGCGCCACCGGGTCTATGGCGGGGTCACGGTGATCGACCCCGAGGGCCGCGCGGTAAGCCGCCTGGTGCGCACCGCGGTGACGTTCAAGCGGCTCTCGGAAGAGGAGATGGCGGCCTATCTCGCCGGCGGCGAATGGCGGGGAAAGGCCGGCGGTTACGCGATACAGGGGCGGGCGGCGGCCTTCGTCCGCTTCGTCGGCGGCTCCTACACAAATGTGGTGGGGCTGCCCGTTCACGAGACCTACCAGCTATTGGTCGGCCTCGGCCTGCCGCCCCGGCCGCCCGGCGCCGGGGACTCATGAGCAAGACGGCGCGCGATGAGGCGGGCGGCCCGGCGATCGACGAGCTGCTGATCACCGCGAGCCCCTATGGCATGCGCGCAGCCGCGGTCGCGGCCGGTCGGCCGGTCGCGTTCTTCATCGAACATCGTGCGAAGCCCAGCCGCATCGGCGATCTGCATGTGGCGCGCCCGCTCGGCAGGATGAAGGGTATCGACGCCTGCATCGTCGATATCGGCGAGGGCGAGGAGGCATTCCTTCAAGGGGCACGTAGCCTCGACGCCGATGGCGCGCCACCGATCGTGCAGATCGTCTGCGACGCCTATGAGGGCAAGCGCGCACGGGTCACGCGGCGAGCGGTGTTGGCGGGCCGCTTCGCTACCTTCAGGCCCGGCGGGCGCGGACTCGCCTTTTCCCGCCGCCTCCGCGATCCCAAGGCTCGGCGCGCGCTCACAGCCGCGCTCGACGGGATCGACATGTCCAGCGGAGGGGTGACGATCAGGGCCGCCGCGGGGGCGTGCCCGGACGAGGTGCCGGCCGCTGCCGCCGCGCTGGCGGCACGTTGGAATGAGGTCCAAGCGTCGGCCAAGCGCGACCGGACCCCCCGGCGCCTCTGGCAGGCAGGCGGCCTGCTCGGGCGGCTGCTGCGCGACGTAGCGGTACCCGGAACCGCGTGTGTCGCCATCGACGACCGTGCCCTGCTCGACCGGGCGGGCACGTTGGCCGCACGTGAGGCGCCGGATCTCACGCCTGCCCTCTCATACGCCGGCGCGGCACCGCCTGCGGGGCCGCTCTTCGAGCGCCACGATTGCGCGGGCCGGCTCGCGGCTGCGCTCGAGCCCGAGGTCGTGCTGCCCGGCGGCGCCCGGCTCACGATCGAGGAAACCCGCGCGCTCTGCGCGATCGACGTGGACACGAGCCAAACCGCCCGATGCCGCCGCAGCCGAGACCGCCGGCGCCGCCGGGCGCGAAATCGTCCTGCGCAATCTCGGCGGGTTGATCGCGATCGACTTCGCGGGCCGCGGCGGCACCCGCACCGGACGGCCCAGCTTGCCGCGCTCGGCGCGTGCACTCAAGGCCGACCGGACTCCCCACCGGGTGCTCGGCGTCACCGCCGGCGGGGTGGTGGAGGTCAACCGCCAGCGGCTCGGCCCGAGCCTGCGTCAGGCCCTGACCGAGCCCACTGGCGATGCCTTCGGCGGGCGCAGGCTGCGGCTGGATGCGGCGGCCCACGAGGCGGCAGACGCCGCCCGGCGCGAGGCGGCGAGCGGGGCTAGGGAGCTCACACTGCGCGCCGCGCCTGCACTTCTGGAAACGCTTGCGGCCCCCGGCGACGGTGTGCTGGAACGCTGGCTGGGCATCGCTCACGCTCATCGCCGATCCGGCCCGGCCGCACGGCCGCTTTTCCATCGAGCGACGCTGATCGCGGCCGCAAGGACGAATGCTCGACCCACTCACCCATATCCAGCTCATCGGCGGTTTCGTTCTGCTCTTCGTGGGCGGCGAGGCGCTGGTGCGGGGCGCGGTCTCGCTCGCTCAGCGGCTGCACGTCTCGCCGCTGCTGATCGGGGCCACGTGGTCGCCTTCGGCACCTCGATGCCGGAGCTTGTGGTCACCTTGCAGGCGGCGCTCAGGGGCTCGTTCGGCATCGCCTTCGGCAACGTAATCGGCAGCAATGTCGCGAACCTCATGCTCATCCTCGGCCTCGCCGTCGTGATTACGCCGGTCCTGGTGTCGCGGCGGGCGGTGGCGCGGGACGGTGGGGCGTTGATCGGTGCCACCGCGCTGCTCGTCGTGTTCACTTCGTTGGGCACGCTTGTCGCCTGGCAGGGCGCGTTGATGCTGGTCCTGCTCGGGCTGCTCACCTGCGCCTCCTACTGGCACGAGCGGCGCACAGGCGGCGAGAAGGGCATCCGCCATCGGCACGAGGCCGAGGAACGCCAGCACTTGCCGCGATCCATCTGGCTCGCCTTGCTCGCCGCGCTGCTCGGGCTCGCCGGCGTCAGCATCGGCGCCCACCTGATGGTCGGTGCCGCGACGATCATCGCGCGCGGCCTCGGGATCACCGAAACCGTGATCGGGATCACGGTCGTCGCAGTCGGCACCTCGCTGCCGGAGCTAGCCACCACCTTGGTGGCGGCCTATCGCAAGCACGCTGACGTCGCAATCGGCAACGTGCTCGGCTCCAGCGTGTTCAACATCCTCGCGATCCTGGGCGTCGTGACCGTGGTGACGCCGCTGCCGGTGCCGGACGAAATCTTGCACCTCGACATCTGGCTGTTGGCAGGCATCACCCTCCTCGTGATCGCGGTGGCGCTCGCCGGCGTGCGCCTGGGGCGGCCGTTCGGCGTGCTCCTCCTGCTTGGCTACGCGGCATTCGCGGCAATGCAGTATCTCGGCGTGTAGTGCCGGCCCAAAGGCGCGGGCGGCGCGTAGACAGGTGCGGCTCCGTGGCCTATACACGGGCCCGCATGCCGGCGTACGCCCAGGTAGCTCAGTCGGTAGAGCAGCGGACTGAAAATCCGCGTGTCGGTGGTTCGATTCCGCCCCTGGGCACCGGCACCTCGCGCCGGCGGCAGCGGACGGAATTGCGCCCGGGCAAGGCGAGAGACGGACCATGACGCCGCAGGGCATGAGCTACGTAAGCGGCGCGAGCGAACGGCCGCTGCTCGGCCTCACCATCGGCGCGCAGCTGGATCAGACGGCCGCGCGCTTCCCCGATAACGAGGCGCTGGTGGTCCGGCATCAGGACGTGCGCTGGCGCTACGGCACGCTCACGGAGAAGGTCGACGCATTCGCCGCAGGCCTGCTGGCGCTGGGGCTAGAGCCGGGCGATCGCATCGGCATCTGGTCGCCCAACAACAGCGAAATGGGCGGTGACGCAATTCGCCGCGGCGAAGGCCGGGCTCATCCTGGTCAACATCAATCCCGCCTACCGCCTGACCGAGCTCGAATACGCCCTCAACAAGGTCGAGTGCCGGGCGCTGGTCACCGCCGAATCGTTCAAGTCGAGCCGCTACATCGAGATGCTGCGCAAGCTCGCGCCGGAGCTCGACCGTACCCGGCCCGGCGGGCTGAAGGCGGAGAAGCTGCCCCATCTCGAAACCGTCGTTCGCCTCGGCACCGAGACCACCGCCGGCATGTACAACTTCGACGAGGTGTCGGGCCTCGCGGGCGCTGCGGAACGCGACCGGCTGCACGTACTCGGCGGCCAGTTGCAGTTCGACGACCCGATCAACATCCAGTTCACCAGCGGCACCACGGGCTTCCCCAAGGGGGCGACGCTCAGCCACCACAACATCCTCAACAACGGCTACTTCAACGGCGTCACGCTTGGCTTGAGCGAGCGCGACCGGGTCTGCATCCCGGTGCCGCTCTATCACTGTTTCGGCATGGTCATGGGCAACCTGATGTCCGCCGCCTTCGGCGCGACCATGGTCTATCCCAGCGATGCCTTCGACCCGCTGGAGGTGCTCCGCACCGTCGAGGCCGAGCGCTGCACGGTGCTCTATGGCGTCCCCACCATGTTCATCGCCGAGCTCGACCATCCCGAGTTTGCGCGCTTCGATCTCTCCTCGCTCCGTACCGGCACGATGGCGGGCTCGCCCTGCCCCATCGAGGTCATGCGCCGCGTCATCGGCGAGCTGCACATGGAAGAGGTGACCATCGCCTATGGCATGACCGAGACCAGCCCGGTGAGCTTCCAGTCGGCGACGGACGACCCGATCGAGCGCCGGGTCTCCACCGTCGGGCGTGTCCACCCCCATGTCGAGGTCAAGGTCGTCGATCAGGACGGCAAGGTCATGCCGCGCGGCGAGACGGGCGAGCTGCTCACCCGCGGCTATTCGGTCATGCGCGGCTACTGGAACGACGAGGACAGGACCCAGGAGGCGATCGACAAGGCGGGCTGGATGCACACCGGCGACCAGGCCACCATCGACGCAGAGGGCTATTGCAACATCGTGGGCCGCATCAAGGACATGGTGATCCGCGGCGGCGAGAACGTCTATCCGCGCGAGATCGAGGAGTTCCTCTACCGCCACCCCAAGATGTCCAGGACGTGCAGGTGATCGGCGTGCCGGACGAGAAGTACGGCGAGGAGCTTTGCGCCTGGATCAAGCTGAGAGACGGCGAAGAGGCGAATGCGGACGAGATCAAGGCCTTCTGCAAGGACCAGATCGCCCACTTCAAGGTGCCGCGCTACGTGCGCTTCGTGGATGAGTTCCCGATGACCATCACGGGCAAGATCCAGAAGTTCAAGATGCGCGAAACCATGATCGCGGCGCTCGAGCTCGCGGAACAGAAGACCGCCTGAGGCGGAACGCGCCAGCCGCCCCCAACGACGGAGAGTCCCATGGCCAAGCTCACGCACATCAACCCGGACAACGTGCCGGACTATCTCACCTACGGCCTCAGCCACGCGGTCGTCGCCGAGGGCGGCAAGACCATCTATCTCTCGGGCCAGGTCGGCTGGAACGAGAAGGGCGAATCGGTAGGGCCGGACCTCGCCAGCCAGCTCGCCCAGGCGCACGAGAACATCCGCCGCGTGCTCGCCGCTGCCGGCGGGACGGTGGCGGACATCGTCCGCCTCAACACCTACGTCGCCAACTACCGGCCCGAAGAGGGCGAGGTGGTGAACGCCGCCAACAAGAAGCTCTTCGGCGACCACATACCGGCCTCGATGACCCTCATGGGCGTCCAGGCCCTCTATTCGCCCGATGTCCGCTGCGAGGTCGAGGTGACCGCCGTCATCGGATAGCTCTTTGTCGCTCACGGCAGCCGGCCTGCGGCCGGCGCCTCCGCGTCGCGCGTCCACGCGCGCGGGCGCGCGATGGCGCCGCATAAGCGGCGGGCCGCGGTCGCGAACTGTCGCGAGCCCGTCATAGACGGACTCGCTCCGGCCCGAAAGAACAAAGGGCGCCGCCCGCGCCGGGCGGCGCCCCCTCGTGCTTGCCGGCGGGGCCGCTCGCCTATGTCCGAAAGACGCCGAGGGTCTCGAAGGCGGCGGCGGCCTGGATAACGGTCGCGTCGTCGTAGCGCTTGCCGATCAGCATCATCCCGATGGGGGAGTCGTCTGCCTTGCCGCAGGGAACCGTCATGGCCGGATGGCCCGTGGCGTCGAACGGGCAGGTGTTGGCCAGCATGTTCAGCGCGACATCGACATAGTGCTCGCGCGAGCAATCGGGCGCCGGCAACTCGGTCGCGAGCATCGGCAGCGTCGGCATCGCGAGCACATCGTACTCAGCCAGCACCGCGTCATACGTCTCACGCAGCCTGCGGCTCAGGTTCTGCGCCTTGGCGTAGTAGCGGCCGTGGTAGTTCCGGTGCATGTACTCGCCCAGCATCATGACCGTCTTCACCGTCTCCGAGAGGTCGTCCGGCCGCGAGCGCCAGCCCCTGGCATAGGCGTCGATCAGCGAGGTCGCGTAGTAGCCTTCCCAGTTGGTGCCGAAGCCGTTGCCCTTCAGCATCATCGCGGTCGCGCCTTCCACCGCGATGCCGTTCCAGATATGCGGCCCGTCGAGGTGCATGGGGATCGAGATCTCGTCCACCGTGGCGCCGAGCTCCGTGAACCGCTGACGCGGCCCTGACCGAGCTGTCGACGGCGTCCTCGCTCTCGGGATGGCCGAAGCCCTCCGTGACGACGCCGATCTTCATACCGTCTGCGCCCTTGTCGAGCGCGTTCACATAGCGCTGGGTCTTGGTGCCGATCTGGCGCGGATCGTGGCCGTCGGGGCCGGCGATGACCTGGAGCAGGGCCGCCACGTCGCTCACCGAGCGCGCCATCGGGCCGGTGTGGTCGAGGGTCTGCTCGATGGGGAAGATCCCGGTGTAGGGAACCAGTCCCATGGGTGGGCTTGTGCCCGTAGATGCCGCACCAGCATGCGGGCATGCGGATCGAGCCGCCCTGGTCGCCGCCGAGCGCCATGTCGGCCTCGCCGATGGCGACCAGCACGCCGCTGCCGGCGGACGAGCCGCCGGAGGTGTAGCCCTTCTTGTGCGGGTTCTCGACCATGCCGGTGGCGGTGGTGGCGCTGCCGCCATCGAAGCAGAGGTAGGTGTTGGCGGCCTTGCCGATGATGGTGCCGCCAGCATCGAGAATCCGGGTCACCACGGTCGCGTCGATATCGGGCACATAGCCCTCGAGCACCGTGGCCCCGTTCATCATCGGCACGCCGGCCAGGCAGATATTGTCCTTGAGAACGACCCGCTTGCCCTTGAGCGGCCCGCCGCCCCTGCCCTTCACCTCGGACTTCCAGTACCAGGCGTTGTAGGGGTTCTCCTCCGGCGGCGGCCGGTAGCCCGTGCTGCGCGGATACTTCACCGGAAGCTTCGGCTCATCGAGATCGTCGAGCCGGTGATAGGACGCGATCGTGCCCTCCATGAGCCCACGATACGATTCCGCGTCCTCAACGGTGATCGTCATGCCGTAGCCTTCGGCGATATCCAGGACCTCTTCGATCGTCGGTGTGCGCACCGTCGGAAACTTGGCCATCCGTTCTCCTCCCGTCTCTTGCCGCGCCGACGGCGAGCGCCGCCGTCCCTGCCGGAGCGCCACATATACCGAACGCGCGTCCGCCCGAACAGGGCAGCCGCGCCCGCGTGTAGCCGGTGGCGGCAATCGGGCAACGGCGCGCGCTTTACAGGCGCCATGCTGCACTGCACAATCCGCCCTTCTGCAACGCCGAATGAGGGAATTCGATCATGGAGCAGGCGGCCGTCGCGGCCCCGGGCGATGCCCGGCCCGGTTACTATTTCGAGGATCTGGCGATCGGCATGAGCGCCGATTTCCGCCGCGTTATCGGCGATGAGGAGATGCGCCTCTTCGCCGATCTCACCGGCGACACCAACCCGCTCCACTTCGACGACGACTTCGCCGAACGCTCGCGCTTCGGCGGGCGAATCGTGCACGGCATGTGCACCGCAGCATTGATCTCGACGGTCATCGGCACCCGCCTGCCGGGGCCGGGGTGCATCTACTTGTCCCAGACGCTCCGCTTCACGGCGCCGGTCAGGCCCGGCGACGAGATTGTGGCGCGGGCGGTGGTGGATCGTCTCATTCCGGAGCGCCGGCGCGTCGAGTTCGAGACCACCTGCTCAGTCGGCGACCAGATCGTGCTCGCCGGCCGCGCGCTCGCCCAGTCCCTTCCCGCCGGAGGCCGGCTTAGCGGGGGGCCTGTGGGCCTAGATGGCTCGCATCCTTGAACTCTCGCGCCCCAAGAATGCGGAACCAACTCCACCGCCGCCGGTTATGATCCAGACAGATAGGATTCGCTCTAGAACCGGGCGATGGCCCGCAGCATGATCCTGTGGTCGGCTGACGCTGCGGGGCGCTCGCGGCGTTCGGTCTCAGGCTCAGAAGCGCGGACGATCCCAGCGAGACGCGCATGCCCAACCGGTAACCGCGCGCATCGGAGTTTTCCAGACTCACCGCGCCGTAGGGCGCCAACGCGGCGCGGCCGCCAAATGCCGGGAAGCCGTAGCCGACCTCCAAATCCAGACGCCTCTCCGACGAGTCATGCACGGCCAGGCGGTTCGTGCCGTCGCTCCATAACCGATGCACGCTGCTTGTCGGCTCGCCCCAGGTCTGTGTCCAGGCTCACCCATGGGCCGAAGCCGGGCGTCTCCGGATCGTAGCGGAACCGTAAGCCGAATCCTTGCTCCTGCAGCGGCGCGTCGTCCTGCACCGCAAGCCAGCGGCCATAAGCCTCCGCGTTCCACCCCTGCTCGATGTTCCGGTAGTGCAGGCCGCCACCGAGCTCCAGGCTGGAGCCGGTCGCGCCATCGCCGCCCTCGTAGCGCAGCCCCAGCTCCCCCCAGGGGACGAGTACGCCCACGTCGGGAATGACGTGCTCGTATTCAACCTCGGCCGCAAGCCGCAGCCGCTGCAGGTTCGCCGATGCACCCTGGAACAACCCTGTGCCTTTTGAAACATCCAGCTGAGCCAGTGACCCCTCGCCCTTCAGCCTGAGCGTCGCCGCCCCATAGGTCAGCAGCCGACCGTTGATGCCCACTGTGGCCGAGGCCAAGGTTGCCGCACTCGTCGCGGAAGATCCCGCGGCGGCGTCAACGACCTGGAGGTCTCCGCCGGCAAGACCGAAGGTTCCCCAGAGTTCCAGATCGGGCGAAATCCACCAGCCCAGATAGGGATGAACCCCGGTCAGCCCAGATCGTAGCGACCGCCGGCCGGATCGCTCCCGCCCGGCCCGTCGAAGTCGAGCGAGCCTCGCGATTGGCTCAGAGACACGCCCGCGAGCAAGTCAGCGCCCGACGATCGCGTCGGCGCCCACCTGCATGCTGAACGCTCGCCGTCCCAGGCGCCTGCGTCGCCCCCACCGTCGCCAGCCAAACTGCGGTAGTCGCCGCAGCCCCACGTCGCGAACCGGATCGTGCCGCCGTTCCAGCCCATCAGCGGAAGCAGAAACGACGTGTTGGCGAGTATGTCCTCCAACTCCAGCGACCCGCCATCCCCATCGGCCAACCCGCTGGAGATCGGTGGGACAGAGAGCGACGGGCTGACGACGCGGCTCGGCCCAACCGCGGGCCATGTCGGAGAACGCTTGTTCGATCCGGCAGCGGACGGCGGTGAAGGCCAGCGCGCGCCCTATCTCCGGCAGGAGCTCCCGGTTGATCGGCGCGAGTGGCCTCACGTCGTCGTCGGCGATCGTCCCCGTAGCGGTGCCATCCTGTATCGTCGCGCCGCTCGGGTTGCTCAGCGTCACCAGGAACGTCTCGTCCGGCTCGTCGAGCTTGTCCTCGCGTGTCGGTACCGCGATGACTTGCTGTGTGGTGCGCGGGCCGAAGGTGAGCGTGCCCGATGCGGCGTCGAAGTCCCGGCCCGCCGCCGCCGTTCCGCCCGCCGTGCGGTAGCTTACCGTCACGGTCTGTTCGCTCGCCCGGCTGAGCCTTACCGCGAAGCGCGCCGTCTCTCCCTCGACCACCGTCGCGTCCGCAATGGAAAGCGTAGGCGGCGGCACAGGCACGTCGTCGTCGTCGATGATCGTGCCCGTCGCACTCCCGTCCTCCAGGGTCGCGCCGCTCGGGTTTCTCAGCGTCACCAGGAACGTCTCGTCCGGCTCGTCGAGCGCTCGTCCCGCTCGTCACCGCGTGAAATTTGACGCGTAGTTGCCGGCTCTAAGGTGAGCTAACCCTATGCGGCGTCGAAGTCCTGGCCGGCGGCCGCTTTCCGCCGACTAAAGCCCCGGTAGCTCACACGTCACTTCTGCTCCCCTCTCCGCTGAGCCTTATACATACCAGGCGAAGAGGTG